ATGATGCCTTCACTCGAACTGGCCGAAGGTCAGACAACAAGACGTCGTAGATACCTAAAGCGCACGTGCGCGATAACCTCACTGTCTGGCGCGTCACGTGACTGTCTGGCACAAGTGACCCTCTATCTACTCCTTCCGGCATCTGCTATAAAGAAAAATCTCAATATTGACTTTAAATTTCTCAATTTGAGGAACCAATCCAACTTGAGAAAATTCAAAAGAATTTATTACCCACATTTTGATCAACACTTGAAATAAATCTTGGGCACCAATACAAAAATCTGACATGAAAACTTGTATCTGAGGCGCATTTTGGATTCGAATAAACACACAATTAATTTAATGACCAATGACAAAAATTTATTCTGGAACACGTGAAACAATTTAAACAAAATCCATGAAGGAAAGAAAAGCTTGCAAAGATTGTTTAGACATTATTACCCCGCACTCTTAAATTAGTTTTAACTTTAAATTATTAGTTAAACAGTTTTTTTCTTAATAATCCAAATCGTAAAAGGTTTCCAATACTAGGCGCATTTAAGTCGCACACAAATGCGGACAGCTTCTGAACTTTGCTCTATAACACAGAATTAGTGCCCTTTCACACTGAGCGACATAGCCACTGCTGCTGAGCATCGGGACGGGATGCAGCGCAGCGCTTAGCAGCGCGACTAGTCGCCTTAACCCGCGACACAGTCACACGTACAGTGGCTTCGTCTCTCACTGGATTTGAACATGCAACTGTGTTGCGGGTTAAGGTGACTCCGTCGCGCTGCTGAGCTGAGCAGCGCTGCACTGCGCCCTGTCCCGCTGCGCTCAGTGTGAAGGGGCACTTAGATGACAAACAAAACTGGCTTGATGCATGAAATGACAAATTTTCAGTGGCTCTTCCAGGAGTAGAAACTTTTAATAAGAAGACAACAGCTTCTTTTTTCAACTCTCAGAAATTTTTGTTTAAATCGCACAACACGCGTTAAACGTCTTACACACTTTGATTAACTTGCTTCTGCACAAATTTATTATAAAAATGACAAACTGCGTCTTCATTTAAACAAATAGGGCTGACTGCTCGAAAATTTAGCGAAAAAAACGTGCGTGCTTTTCCAACGTCTCGCCAGCAGCAACCGCCACATGTTCTCACTGTTTCCAGTATTTAAGGAAACCCCACTTCCACCATAAAATAAACTCCTTCAAGAATGTTCAAATAAATCACAATGGAACGCGCCAAACGTCCTCACTTTCGCCGACCCACGTGCCTTAAAACTCCCTATCGCAAGGCTATCTAACCTGTAACACCCAAAATCGACCAGATGTGTCTCACTTCTAACACCTTACTATCTAAATTGAATAAATTACAAAAGCGGTAAAATTGAAACGAAAAAATTACACATCTAGCAAAGTTTCTAAAAGGAAAAACAAATATGGAAATACAAATTCAAGTAAAATAAACCAACTTTGTGATTATTCGTAAATAACTCGTCAGATTTGCACTTCAAAATTGAAATTGTAGCACATACATACATGGTGGCTCAACCTTATTGAAGGTTCTGAATTCCATACTCTCAAATTGGGTTGAAATATTATTTGACATATTGAAGAATTGACCAAAATAACGTATACGTAACGTAGTTTACACAACAGTATGTATGGTTAAGTGGCGTCTATATACCGAATTTGTTATAATTATAAATATCATTTATTATGAATTCTATAATCTGGAAATATGCGTCATTCGAACAAGTTTTGCCAAGTTTCTGTTCAGATTTTCCATATATTACTGTATAACTATAAAGGCCGATTCTCGTTAGAGCAGCGCCGCGGCGAAGAGCAGTGAGAATCCTTTCCTCACGCCTGAAGAAGAGTCATCATCATATTATGATTTCGTATTTATAGCTTCACTATATCATCAACACGAATAAAACAGAAGAAAAAGGAAGCGGTAATATTAGGTTAATGACATAATTTGTGCCCGGTGAGAAGAAGTCGAATTTTACACACTGTTTAAGCGACGAGTACATTTTTGTATTTTGTTTGTGTTCATTCCAAATCTACTACCGCACTCACTAAAAAAATATTGCAAATTTTTTTTCACAAGCCGTAGCGCCGCGTCCATAAGCTATACACTTCTTGATTCTCTGGCTGTCAACATGCAGAGCGGTGCGTTTCAAACACGAACTTATAAGTACGTGGTTTCAAAGCAGTGCCGCGAGTTCCAATGCTTCCTGACGCGTTTAATATTTGCTGCGCTGTACCGCGACGCTTTGCCTAGGTGAAAACGGAACCGCTTAAAGTAGTTAGAGCGCCTAGGTAAAAGTAACAAGAAGTTGGTGAAAATTTGGTCACTTATTCTCTGAGAGACGCACTTTCTAGTGGTCAAAAGAAAAAAGTGTTCCTATGTGCCGTTTCTGAGATATTTGACAGTAAAAACAGGGTATTTTAACATGGGCCCTTATGGACAGACTCAGTTTTTCTGAGCTAGCGAAGGTTTTTGTATCAAGACTTAAATGAGATGGGTCTCATTAGAAGCGAAATTTTGTGACGAATCCAAATATGCACGGCAAAGTACATGTTCATGATGAAATAAGGAAGATATTTACCGCCGAAGCGGCGTCTGCTCTGACGCGGCGGCACGCTATGCAACACGCGTTTAAATCTGATGACTTTTCCACTAGGTCTAGTATATAGCTTAGCTAGGACAATCTTTTCCTTCTTCTGCTGAGCACTTTTCTTCACAAAAGGCATGGTGTCTTTCAGAAAGAACACCAAAACCAGCGATATTTATAAAGGCCTGCACACGTCGTGTTGACACACTGATCGGATCGAGATCAAGATAGCGGCTGGGGATCTCTGGCGCCAACATCGAAAAACCAAATCCACTACACCGACTTCACGTAAAACGCCAAATTATTTAGTTTCCCGGCTTTTACATACGTCTCGCATACGTTTTGATTAAGAATAAATATATTCGTTCAGGATTTACCGCTTACACTGTGAATATTTAGTCGCGGTGTGTCGTCAACATTTAGTGTGCAAAGGTTTGAAACAGGGTCGAAAAGTAGGGAGACTAGCCAAGTTGATTACTGTATATACCTTTTTAAAAATTATGTAAGACGTTTGCATTGTGCTGAGGTACAAAATACCATTCATACCGTATTTCTAATTATGTTTCCTTCATAACAACATTTTTTTGGGGACGTTTACCGTAAGTAATAGGTAGGCCGAGTACATCACTTGACTTCAGCCGAACGCGCTCTAACTACTTTAATTACATGCGAACAATTGAGATCAGCATTTTGCGGCGCCGCGCCGCTCTGTGCTGTTCTAATGAGTATCGGCCTTTATTATCAACTTATGAAATGAATTTTTTCACATTGAGAATAAAGTATTTAATCACATTTACTTTATAGTTAGATTTATTTATTTGTTATCTAACTGCACCACTTATTTTTATTAATAATATGGGAATAGACTGATCTGTTTTTCAAGTGAACATATTGCATTGTATGTTCCCTTTTAAGAAAAAATGTATTTATTGTTATTTGTGCTGGGGGGTTCCAGTCGGGTTCCTGCACTGTAACGTTTTGATTTATTGTGTCCTGCGGTATTGCCGACCATTCCAGAATACATGTATCTTTAACCTTCGTTACTTCGTCTTGTGTAATTTTTTCATTTGTAAGTAAATGTTCCCTTGCGTTTGTGTAAGCTTCGCATTAGCAAATGTGGTGTGGTGATTCTTCTTCACCACGCCTTCATAATGGACTGTTAGTCTGTCCCATGTTGTGCTAGATTTTTGTTTTATTTGATAGAAAAAAAACCAGTCTCCAGTGAGTACTAAACACTTATGCCCGGTTTCACAAACAATGATTAAGGTTAATCACTGATTAAAAATATTAGAATGGAAAACATCTGAGCGTATAATCAATCAAAGGTGGCTAACATTCTAGTATTTTTAATCATTGATTTGCACACTGCAACTAGTTTTGAAACTGCAAAGTCATGAAAGAAAGATCCTTTCAACGCAGGCTTTTGCTCTATGAAATCTTATGCGTTCCAGATTTGCAACTATCAAAAATTAATAAAATCTTTATTTATGCATCAATTTTGTTGGGAAAAAGATTAAACTCTATTCCTTGTTACCCAAGAAGTGATCCACATGCATTTTTTGTTCCCAAAATATTTTTTTGCCAAAAGATGTCAAAATCGTTATTTAGAAAAAAGACCTGACATCAAGTTTCGTTATATGAAATTTTATGGGTTCCATTATGGAGAGTGGTGCTTCTGCCCTCACTATTCCGTCCGTCTGCCACTCCATTCACGCCTAGACTATAAACGTATCAACTTCAAAGGTCTGTTCGTTTGTCTATGCGAGTGAGTTGCGCTGACAACCGCCACATAGTGTGGTTTCAACCATCTTTATTTAACATTACTTTTTACCTCCAATATTTAAAGAGTAATCAATTGACAAATGAAAGTTTGCCTTATCCCTTATATTTGGAGATACAAAGAGAATTGTGATAGGTATACTAATTCACTAATACAATTGCATTTTTCAATTTTATTAACTACTTGTTATCATCATCGTAAGCATCTTTGTGTATGCATTGCATGTTAAAGCTTGTTGTTTCTTGTCTAACATGCAAATGCTCATGTTGTTTGTTTCGTTTCTGTATTTTGACAATTGCTTTGTACAAGTCTTAACTGCAGAGCAGCAAAAACACAGGTAATGGATGGATCACACTCCTACTTCCTTTTATACCGTTTTGTTTTTTTATTGGCCCTTCACTGTTATTATCACTACTGTCCTTTCATACACCTGATATATAACAAGACAACTAGCTCAAGTAGCTTTCTTAGTTGATCTCTTTGCTATTTCATCAAACAAAACGTAACATCTGTTAATAAGAAATATTTCAAGCATTACCTTGTAGCTCACATTTTCATTAGGAAAGCTTCTTATCCAATTGCCTACTAAAGTGTAATTAAAGCAAATATTAATATTAGTCTTTTTCTCTATTTGATAGGATGTAACGTTAAGCAAAGCTGCTGGTTCATTAGGTTTCAGTATTATCGGTGGCACCGACCATTCCAGTATTCCCTTTGGTGCTAAAGAACCCGGAATTTTTATATCTCACGTAGGTGCAAGTACCATTATTTTATCATTGTATTACAACTAGTTTTTCTAAAGATGGTGCCAGGAGGAACCGCAGCTAGTAGTGGAAAGTTACGAATAGGCGATCGAATTCTAAAAGTCAATGGAACAGATGTAACTCAAGCAACTCATCAAGAAGCTGTGATGGAATTATTACGTCCTGTAGAATTAATTACACTATGTGTTCGACATGATCCTTTACCGGAAGGTTATCAGGTAATGTTTGTGATCATCTACTAAAATTTTTCTTACCTTGATTTCTAATTTCAAGCAACTTGTGATAAATTATATTAACCAAGAGGTAACTACTTAAATTTTGTTTGCTTGTTAATCGCGTTTCTTTTACTATTTCCATTTTTTGCTTACAGGAGATAGTTATAGAAAAAACAGAAAATGAAAAGCTTGGAATGCATATAAAAGGTGGATTACAAGGGCAAAGAGGTAATCCATTGGACAAGGCGGATGAAGGAGTGTTTATTTCAAAAATCAATTCGGTGGGGGCAGCGAGGCGAGATGGAAGATTGCGTACCGGCATGCGTCTATTGGAAGTTAATGGACGTTCGTTGCTGGGAGCTACGCATCAAGAAGCTGTGAATACACTACGTTCTTGTGGCGACCTTATTCACCTGATTGTGTGTAAAGGTTACGATCGTGCTGATATTGAAAGAGCTCAAGCAGAAGGTCGCCTAACGAGAACAGGTTCGACTAGCAGTCGTTCTCAGAGTGTTAGCTCTCTTGATCGCGATGATGAAGAAAGCCAACAGGTAATTTGCCATCTTTCTTATGTTTCATTAGAATTTACATACGTCACATATTGATTGATTTTGTTATTTGAGTTGTTGTCTGGTGCACATTCAGTTTAAATGTTCGACGTCGGTTTACTCTCTCTATCTTTATCACAAAGACATAGATAACGATTATTCCGATGATTAATTGGCAACTGCAACATTGAAGTGTCAAACTTGATTGATTTTTGGGGTAGGTGTATGAAGGACATGTGATAAACGCCAAACGTCATCCGAAATGGACTCAACATATCTTAACCACATCAATTTTGTGTCACTTCTAACTTGCGGGTATTAAAGAGAGACAACCTATATATGATACAACTACCAGTTTTATACAGGCTGATTCCAATTCAAGGACCACCATGGGAACCTCTGAAACTGTAAGAGATAGGTAGTTTAAATTTGGCAAAGCTGCGTACTTTGATACTTGACAAAATGCAGTTTTGAAACTGAAAAGATTCCGACTACTTTCGGAGATATCGTGAAAAAACGAAATTTTGTAAAATCGTTTTTATTTTTGACCACATTATTACGGCCATTTTTTTTCCCGTACAAGATGCTAGTTTTAAATTTTAATGGCCGTTTGCACCGTTTTACTAAACATCGTTTAAAGTCGTAAACACTGTTTAGCAATAGACAGGGTTTGCACCGTACATTAATCAACGTTTAGAAAGGTGTAGGCTATGTTTAATCTAAACGTCCAATTTTGGGCGTTTAAAGGTCTGATTAGTACGAGTATGTCATAATTTGTACGTTATAGTAAATACTACCAGTATCTTTATTTTGATTTTCTTTCTGTGGTGTCATAAATTTTGATAAATTATGGATGTTGTTGAAGAATTTTTCATAGAAGATGATTTAGACATATTGGATATAGTAGAGTTTAGTTTCCCACGTAAAGTTTATACTAGGAAAAATCATTTCGGGGAGATGGATAACTTAACATTCTTTAAGCGCTTTCGTTAGACGAAAGATGCAGTTCTGCAGTTGTTAGAATTAATCGAAATGGATCTCGAATATAATAACAATTTGTATGAAGCTACTAAGTACCTAATTACCCATTTGTTATCCTAAACTATACTTTTACAAACAATAATGTAGCACCTATTGGTTAGTTGTTAGCAGCGCTTAGGTTTTATGCAAGTACCGGACATTTAAGTACAGTGGCTGATTTTATCGACATGGATATCTCCACAGCATCACGGTTAGTTGCAAAGGTTACACATACTATTGGTAGACTGTATCCACAGTTTGTTAAAATGCCAGGTCCAAATGAATTAATTCAAGCGCAGAGAGTTATTGGTTGTGTTGAAGGTACGCATGTCAAAATACAATCACCAGGTACTTAAGTAGTTTCGCATAATACCTGATGAGGTCAATATACATTTTCCAGGTGGAGAAGATCCGGAGGTTTTTAAAAACCGAAAGGGATATTTCTCTATAAATGTTCAGGGTACTTGGGATGCAAATCTGAAAAATCACAAATATTGGCAATCATTAACTTTTCATCCGCACTAAACGTTGGGCATCGATTTCTTTTTTTGGCCGGAGCTTCCATTATTAACCAAATTTACTAAATTTAACAAAGTTGATGATTTTAAGCTCAAATATAAACTTTAAGATTAACAAACAGTCAGTAAACACATGTGACAGTAGATATTTTACAGTGTTGCCTAGCAGATTCTCCGATTACCTAAACAGCGTTATGTTTTTGTCGGTGCAAGTGGTTACAAATTAAACATTGTTTAAAATTAAAACAGTGATTAGTTAAACAACGTTTATTGCAGAAATGGTGCAAACGGCCATAAGTGTGACGTTTCGTTTCCGGTTAACCATCATCAACTTTGATTTTTCTTATGGAAGTCATTTTTACTTTTTCTTAGGGAACTTTGGACTCTTTAAATGCGTCTTTCTCTTTTAAAACTTACAAATGGGATTGAAGCATAAGATGTCTAAAATACAAACGTAAACTGCTTATAATATCTACACAAATATTAATTTAATAATAATAATAATAAATTAATATAATATAATCTTTGCACAGTTTACATAAACGCCTATCTACATTCAACCATTTAACGCGTGTTACTGTGTTGGATCATGTCTTAGATGGAGTCTCGAATCGCTGTTTGTGTGAAACCATCAACATCGCTACCCGGTTTCTTACTTGTTACCTTGTTACTTACCGGCTTTTTTCTGTCGACTAAAGGTTTTTGGTTTTATTTTTCACATCTGCCTCAAGAACATAGTATTTTGTGAAATACATTGATCACTTTAACATAAGTACGTAACTTTTATTGTGTGTTATTGTTGAAAATGATTTTTTTATTTTGTTAATGTTGGCATTACAATATTCCCCATAAACAGAATTGATGACGTACGTGCAAATTAAGGAAAATCCTACTCTATAAACGTTTACATGTTTTGATTGCAGGAGCAGAGGATGAAGACCGAACTTGTTCAGTTTGAAAAGGAAGAAGCCGAGAAGAGATTGAAGATTTCGGAGAATAACAGCGAAGATCTTTCGTTAGTTGAGGCGCAACAAGTTACGACACCGGTTGAGAAGGTAATGGACGTAGTAAGAGCAGTAGAAACGTTAGTTCACGTACCTATCGATCCTGCCATTGTTCCTAAGTCTCCGGGAGGACCGAATTCGGAGTTAAAAACAACTACTGTCGTTATGAGCAAACATACGTTGGCTCCACAAGCTACAACCGTAAGTTTCATAATTTCTTTATAATTTAAATATCAATATTTTATGTTCTTATTAGTCTTGGCAATGATCTTTGGAAATAATACGTAGAATTATTCGTAATAATTAATGTTTTACAAGTTGCTAGTCCATGAAACGAATGAAGTATAGGGGAAAAGGTGTCCTGATTAACATACTGAAAGCGAGGGTTTTTTGTTATGTATAAGATATTTTACGTTTATATCTTCAAATATGGGCTGTAATATACCTTCGATTTTTTTTTATTTGGTTTGCACCACAATGTTGGGGCTTCCGAAATTGAATTTGTTTGCATCCTCGCATCGAAAGTTATTAGAGATTTTCCATTTTTAAGTGACCAGAAAGTAGAAAGTGGGGGCTCATCCACTTCGTTGTGCATGCCCTTCTAGAAAATACACTAAAAGGAGACTTAAAGGTCACTTACAACCACTAGCCTATTCATTATGTTATTTGGGACACCAACTTCAGCATCTTTTTTTTTCCTTGCCTTCGATGCTTGGACTAATTGACATTCTAATGCAATTTTAGTATTTGTGTTGACTAAGTAGACACGGTTTGTACCTTACAAATCTCAGAATATTTGCCAAGACGTTTTTGTTAGCCACTGTTTTGTTTGGTTTTATGTCTGCTCAATTTGTGTATGGTTGCTTAACATTTTCAACGAGTGATTTGTTGTATTAAAAATGTACAGTATGTTTAATTTTTTCGCATTAAACGTTTAGGTGATTATTTTCGATAGTTTTATAAACATTTGGAACATACTGGTAAAACTAAGCAAAACTCTCCATTATTGTGGTTTGGCAATTAATTTCAACATAATCATTGTCGGATGTGATAAAGTGAAGATATTAGAAAGTTAGCCAGTGTCTTATTTTTTATGAACACAAATGTAAATGTTATTTTTCCTCAACCTACTATCTTATACGTCATATCTGCCACAGATATAGTAACTGAATCTTTTATAGTGATACCAGAAAAAATTTCACAGAAAGATTTGCTATATCTAGTGAAGTAATTTGAATCGACTATTTCCACTAGCGGCGGCCATGTTTGGTTAAATTTCTAAAATCAAACATGATTAAAGCTTATCTTCTGCATGATATCTAGGTATAGTTTTTAAAAAAAAACACCGAATGGAATTTGTAAAATAACCATTTTATTTAACTACCATCTCCACTGGTTTCTGAGATCTCCATGCTTTTGGTAAAGACACCCACCGTACCCACAGAGGCAACTGTGTGTCACCTAAACATTCAAGGTCGTCTGTGATGAATGAATGCTCGCCAGATCACAGGAAATGGGAAGAGATTGCTAAACTCGAAGCGTTGTTGTAACTCGCCCTATTACCCTAAATGCCCCGTCACATTAGGCACCTTAGCAGCGCTGCTGAGAAGCGAGGCGGGGCGCGGGACGCAGTGCAGCGCAACAGAGTCGCTTTAACCAGCGACTCAGTCGCACGTTCAGCGGCTTCGTCTCGCGACTGGAGCAAGAACTGCCACCTGTCACTGCAGTACAAGATTGATTTCGACGAGGACCTGCTTTTCGCTCTTCTTCTTTATGTAACAAGTAGAACGTTTTTTCAACTTTGCGTTACTTTCGATGTTTAGTGGGCATTTCCTTTTTCAACCGCCGCGACGTGCCTCCAGATAGGCGCTACTTAGCCGCCCAATGTGAATGGTTGTGACGCCAGCGGCGCTGCTGACCAGCCGCTGCTCATATCGGTCGCCGTTGCCGCGGTCGCTCAGATCGGAACGCTTTCATATAAACCAATTCTCAGTCAGTAGCAAGACGACAAGCAGCACTACTAAGTGGCCTAGTGTGAAGGAGCACTAAAATCAGCCATACAGAAAAAGATGTGCAAAATAAGCAAATTTTGCATGGTCCTCACTCTATAATATATCACCTCTCTTTTTGCAGAAATATATGGGAAAAAATCCATAACAATTGCTTCGATTCGAAGTACTTTTGTAGATAACGTACTTTATCATACTTTCATTCCAACAATTTTTAAAGTGTAATATGCTATCATCGGTGCTTGCTGAATTTTATATGTTATTACTTATTAATAAATACTAGCCCGCAGAGTTGTGGGAAATAGAAAATATTTAGGAAAAATGGTGAGCAATTTGTGTGTATGCGTGGCTGCCTATTTGTATGTTACAAATGAAACTAATGTGTTACTTAATTGTACAAACTCATATCAAAAGTACCAATTATCAATATTATGTATATTATACTTAACTAATATATACTGCCAATGTTTATCAATATCGTTAGTGATAATATAGAATTTTTATAATTGCTTCGGGTATCTATTAATATGTTTGCGATGATTAATTTTTAAAATTCGATCATTAATAGCAATAACATTTTATACAACTATTCATACAGGTGCTAACTGAGTATTAATAATTGCTATCTTTAATTCACTCAGTAGTTTAAAACCAATGAGTTGTATCGATTATTTTTTTCCTATAGCATGATATTTAACCAGATGACAAGCTTAAAAAATATTCCTTTTCGCCAATTGTCAGCTTATTGCTCGCCAAAGTTGATTTTTCTGCATATTATGAGACATGGTGCGATATTAGAAAAATACTTACGATCAAGTATTGTTAATTTCAAGTTGTATTCCATTTGTGCCATTTATCTAAAATGCAATAGCATGTTTTACTCCTAACCCATTAAGTTGTAGCACGCCATTGGTGTTGAAATGGCATCTATCTCGCTTATTAATTATACACCACACACAAATGTACTTCTCAGAACTGGACATTATAGGGCATTTCCAAACCAAAAATTCCAGACGATATGTTTTTAGTTTTGATCTATGTTGATCCATGAGTATCGTATGGGCTAGACATGACAATGGCGGATTCTCTGGCGTATAATGTCTTTAGGAGCAACTACCATTGTTATTTTGGGAAATTTTTTTTTCGTAAAATTTTACCTACAGCTTTGTTGCATGCATTTTTGATTACACATGTTATTGAAAATCAATTTTGTTGCGCAAGCTGACGATTGCCCACTACAATATTTATATTTTACTACATAATTATTTATTTGTGGTTCCTTAACACGTAGGCCAGTATTACATCTTCCCACATTACTCATACTTTTTACCAAATTAATTTATATTTGTAAGTGTTAGTAATACAGTTAGTAGTTTTGCGTTAACGTAAGTCACACGGCTCACGTCTGTATATATTTTTTCACAAGTGCTGATACAAATTAGGTTAATACTTTAAAGTATCAAAATGCTGTGCTTTTGTACGGATCATTCATATACGTTAATTCTTAAATTAATATTTAATATAATTTAGGGAAAGTTGCAGCTTACCATGAAGATAAATATTAGAGATGAGACTATTTTATGGAGTTTGCAAATTAACTGATATTGAATACGTAATACACAGAAATACACATCCCTACCATTTTTATTGACATGGAAAATGTACCCCCATGGAGTAATTTATACTAACTGTTTACATTTTTTAGTGAGTGAGTCCAGTCAAATTACCTCTAAAAGTAGTATAAACTGGATGTTGTCACTTCACTGAACGAAACCAAGCGTATTCTATGTAAAAAAATCCGCTGAAAATCATAGTCCCCCCGGGCGGAAACGCCCGGAACATATTGTTATAAACAAAAAACGAAGAAAAAACGGGAAAATGTCGTATTTTTTCACATTTGACTGCCAATATCTCTTTAACTATTGCTCTAAGGGAAAAAATGAATAGAAATGAACTTGTTTAGAATAAAATTTTCTATAAGATACAGTTGGTCCGGAACGCTCATTTTCAACTGTTATTGTTTTTTAGGGAAAAATGTAAAAACAGTAATCTCTAAAATTAACACTTTGTTATTGTTAAGTAAAATTAATTCGATCTTTTTGAAAATCCGTATTTAGTAACTACTTTTGATAACAAAACAATATGACAAACCAGATCGCCGTAGGTTTCATTACTCATTAATTAAGTAGATAAACAAGTAGAAAAAGAGATGCTTTGTCTTTCAAACTGGGGGAGTACAAGAGTGTTCTCAATTTTTTTATACATATTATAACCCTAAAACAATCTTTTCCAATAATTTTCCCGATGATTCCTGCAAATCGACGGACTGTGCAATTTTTTTTTCAAAATCCGAAGAATTTTCTTAGTTAACAAATGGAATAACTCCCCAAATATAACAAAAAAAATATAACTCTATAATAGGCGAATGTAAAGCTCTCGGAAAGCCGTGCATTAAAAAAAAATACGTCCAAATCCGATTAATAGTTCACGAGAAATCAGCTTTTGACTTTGAAGCCAGTTTTCGAAACAACCAAAAATGATTTGCAAATCGGGTCGCACCGATCGATTCTTTACAGCGTGAACTTTTTTCATGCTTCTATTTCACCAAAATGAATGATTTTTATTAATCCGAGTGTCAAGTGCCGATTATAGAGCTACTTTTCTTGTTAAATCTCGGAAGCTATTCGATTTGTTAGTTAACTAAAAAATTCCACAGTCCGTTGATTTGCAAAAATGACCAGGACAATTATTGGAAAAGATTGTTTTACGGTTCCACTATGTATAAAAAATTGGGAACACTCTTGTACTCCTCTAGTTTGAAAGACAAAGCATCTCTTTTTCTACTTGCTTATCTAATTAATCAATGAGTATGAAACCTACGGTGATCTGGTTTGTCATATTGTTTTGTTATCAAAAGAAGTTACTAAATACGGATTTTCAAAAAGATCGAATGAATTTTATTTAGTAATAACAAAGTGTTAATTTTCGAGATTACTTTTTTACATTTTTCCATAAATAACAATAACAGTTGAAAATGAGCGTTCCGGACCAACTGTATCTTATAGAAATTTTTTTTCTAAACAAGTTCATTTCTATTCATTTTTTCCCTCCGAGCAATAGTTAACGAGATATTCGAAGTCAAATGTGAAAAAACACGACATTTTCCCATTTTTTCTTCGTTTTTTGTTTATAACAATATGTTCCGGGCGTTTCCGGCCAGGGGGACTATGATTTTCGGAATCAGCGGATTTTTTTACATAGGATACGCTTGGTGTCGTTGAGTGAAGTGACAACATCCAGCCCAAACCGTAATTTGACTGGACTATTAGTAATGCACTCATTTACAAATCACTGTTTATATCGTCACCTAAGCACCTCCTTAACTACTTCAGCTCATCTATTCAACCAAACGTCAAAGCTCATGATTCATAAACTTTAGCACACCTTACACACCAAAAATACTTTATCTGAGAATTTTGATCTTGTTACATTACCACTGTTATATGTGTTTGCTCTAGCATGCAGTTAAAACATCAGTTTTAAAGCATAAATGTTAATAAAGAACACCAGTTGTGTAGTAAAAAGAAAACACTGAAAATGGTCTTCCATTTTAGTACTGGTTACGTACGAAGTAGGTTTTACGAATTTGACTCCTATTTATAATATTTCTTAACTAAAGACAATAACTAAATCACAAATGGATACGTAGTTCTAAAGCAAATTGACGAAAAATAATTTAGTCTCATCTCTTAATTTGGTCCATCATTCTGTTTTTAGGAAACTATATTATTGTGATTAAATTTTTGTATAGTTTATTATACTAAGATAATGGAAAATATCAGATTTAAATGTTTTTTGTGTAGACATCAAATATGAATGTATTTTTGAATTGTTAATGTTTTTAATTAAAATTATATATGGGAAAATATATATTTGGTACAGAATATGTGTGCATTCTGTTTGTTCTTGTGTTCTGTATCGCTTTTTGGTTGGGTTGGTGGTATTAGCTTTAGATTTAGTAACTGTTACACTTTTATTTACCATTAATGCATTCTAACAGGAAACTGGGGTGCATGCTGCCACATTACCCAAATCTTTTGCACCTACTCCTTTAAACACTGGTTCTGCAACAGATATTCCTTTAGCATCTTCCAAAATTAACAGTCAGCAACATTACCAAATTCCTATGTCAACCTCAACCTCTTCGTTACCTGACGCCGTTAAAGTTACAAATTTTTCGAATAATGAATTGGAGATTTACGAAAGGGCTAGTAGAGTGGAGCAAAAAGTGAGCTTGCAAAATTTACCCCCACCTCCAGAAGAAGTGCACTATGATTCTATTGTCAATTTTGTGGTTCCTCCTCCAAATAGATTCAGTAGTGGTGATTTGCAAGATGAAACTCTCACTCTACCCCCATTCCCACAATCTTACTTAGACGATGTCTTCAGCTCAACCGAAATTGATTTGTATTGTGTGCCTTCTCCTCCTCCGAGTTTTACAGCAGATAATGAAACTGCATCAGAAAAAATCGTATTTCCAAATGCCTTTTCTCGAGCAGTCTATTACGATGACACGAAGCAAATCTACCACGAGTTAGATGATCAGCCCCCACCTTTACCGACAACATTACCTCCCCCATTATCCAACTCACCTCCTCCATTACCAAAAACCAAACCACCGCCATTGTCAAACACAGTCTCACATCACAAAATAGATTTCATTCCACCAAAGGAGCAATTTGACAGCACTCCTCATCCGGAAATACCTCACCTATTACATTTTACTAATATGCATGATAGCACCATTGCAGTGGGTCTTGGACATCACATGTATAACAGAAGTATTTCTTCTGCTTCTAAGGTAATTACTTTTTTCTATACTCTCTTTTTTTTATTATGAGTACATTTAGTAAATTGAGTGTGCATGCCGGATTTTGATTAGGAATGTTGTTAATTGAATGAGAGTTGAATGGGTTTAATTTTCTTCAAATCGTAAATTGGAAAAATTGCTTGAATATAGTTCTAAGTATTTAAATTAAATGCAAATGAAAATATGCTTCATTACTTTTGATTTTCAGCATTGGTTTAATTTTTGTGGTAAGCATTGAGGGCAGTTTTGTTTTCTCCTGTATACTCTTGTTTCTAGTTTGAAAGTAACAACAACTAAAACAGTTATGGTGTGATTTCAACTGCTCAATTTTACAAGATGTTAATGATTCCTTGTGTTTTTGACAGCCACCGCAATCCCCGAAGAATGTTTCTGCAAAGTTGTCGGTCAGTGATAAGAAGAAATTCTTCGAAAGCGCCATGGAGGAGAGTCAACATCCTACACCTAAGCCAGGTAGAAGCGTTTTTTTCATTTAGGATAAATTTTAATATGATATTTTCTAGAGAAAGTATTTAGTTATCTAAGCGCTGATGAAGTCGAAAGAATGCGTGCTGAAGAAGAGAGAAAAATCGCCACCTTGTCGCGTGCCGATATTAATTCACTTTCCGTTCTGGAGCATTCAGATGATGAATCTGTGGAATCTCAACCAATCAGGTTTGTCTTTTTTTCATTGTTTTGACCATTAAACGAATTGTGATCAAATACATGGTTAAATATTTAGAAGCGAAAGACTAGTCGCTGCAGGAGTTTCTTTATGAAGTCAGACTTATCTGTTTATCCAGGACTGTGAACAAGATAGCTTTTAAATGAGTACTCGTGCGCACATTTTTTTTTTGTCAATGATAGCTTAGAAGCAGAGCCAGTGTCAAAAAGTGTCTGAATTTACTAAGACTAGTTTTTGTATAGCGCATTACAGTGGTTGTGTACACAAACATACTGCGGTCAGTTAAGCGAAACTGAAAACATATGTCTCAGGTATGTTTCCGAAGGTGTCGTACCTACCGAGGTAATTAAATGAATTTACTAAGGCTAAAAATTCTCAAGGCCATTGAAGGGGATGGGATTCGTTCCTGAACTGGATGCTACTGAAGGTCGTAAACATGAGCTCATTCAGGTCACTGAACAGCCTTTGTTCTTAAACTTGTATTGACATTGGGCTACATTTAGATCCTAGGAATGCATCTGAACACGAAAAGGTCACCGTCCCGAAATCAATACACTTCTCCTACCTTCACCACCAATGCGCATATAAGAATTGCAAGGTTTTTTGAATCTGCTATACATTGGTTTGTGTGCTCTATTTTATATTCAATGGGGTCATCCCGCCTTCATTTTTTATTTCTGATCTTCAAAGTACATTAAAAATAAAAAGACCCGTGTGTCCTCAATTTTTATTTGCGAGTAAAAGAAACCCAAAATAAATTATTGAAAAGCTGTGTTTTTAGTCCGAATTTGAAACGCTTCAGACTAAATACGTCACAAACCTGCAACCAATCACGTAGAAGTGAGCTGGCAACCTTATGCGAGGGTCTGACGTTTGTCACATTTGACGTTTTGAGAGGGATGTTTAACTGCATCTAGCACGAAAGTGACAAGTGCCTGTGACAGATGACGCAAGTTATAAATGCCATTCTCCTGCAATATTGCCAAGTCGTTATGTCATCTGAATGGTTCTAGGAGCTGATTGGTCGGGCTTATTACGTCACAGAGCCCGCCACAATCATATCGTTTTGAATAAACCTTTAAAACCGCACATGTTCATTATTTTTTTGCTAATCAGCCTCTATTTTTAAATAAACTTTTACTGTCCAAAAAATGTTTTGTGGTTTTAGGTACACGCTTATTAAATTAGAACTGCGGAATTCAACTATACTGTAAACCCCCATTATGCCCTCTATTTGACCTTCAATTCTGATTTTTATTTCACCTTTAATTCTGACCTCTATTTCACCTTCAATTCTGCGTTTCCTCCAATCCGCCACATAAACGGTCAACTAGCCCAGGATTGGAAATAAGAGCTTGAGATCTTCCACAGCGGTAGTTCGTTCTGGGCATTTGATTTTCTTAACTTCGTTGCACTTACCAATGGGGTTGAGCGCCACCCAATTTCTTTCTTAACTCTCCCCGTATTAAATTGAGAAGATACAAGGGTAGTAATATCAGTGCAAATCACTTCAGGTACCAAAAGAAATAATGGTTTATTCAAACACCAAATGACAAAAATAAAAATTGTCTCCACAATTGGATGGCGTATCATACAAAATACTCCTCCAAATACTCAAAATTATAACTTACGTTACGCATAAATCCTAGTAACTTCACTGTACAATTGAAATTCCCCAGTTTTATCAAACTAAGTACTGAACACCTGTTCCCTTACGGGGCACTCGAAGAGCCCATATGCAGGTTCTGTGGTAAGGCGGATGAAACTACCGAGCATGTGGTCTGTCACTGTGACGCTTTGATCAGGGACAGATATCAACTCCTTGGAGACAGTTATCTCCAAACCTCTAAACAATCAAAAGAAAACCTCCCAAAAGAACATTCGCGCTTTAAACTCGATCATAACTCAACTGAGATGGTAAAGATTCTAAATAGGTACTCATGTTCCCAAATTACTTAAATGTAATAACATATAACCCTGAAGGAGCAAAATAGTTATCAACTATGACGCTAAAGAGTTACGGAAATTGTCCCTTATGGAAGATCGACTGTTGATATTAAATCTCCTTCATGGCCCAGTGACCCATGTCACAGCAAATGCTCGCTTGTTGAACAAGAATTGTAGGTACAGTAAACGTATCAGTAACGTAAGCTGAGAATTAAACGGTCTTCAAAGTTGAATCAAATTTGAATTTGAACTGGTACTTAAAATTAACACCCTAAAAGAAATCAAAGGTAACCCTCCATCTTTGATGACATAAAAGTAGAGCAGCAATTGTCGATGGAAATTGTGGTACAACAAATGATAGCCGAACCTAAAGAAAGGTCCACCTGAATACACGGAATGCAAATGGTGGTACTAACTAAAAAAGGAAGAACGCAAGATAGATGCTCACTAGGAGTATACAGGTGAAAACCGTCCAATTAATTACTTTGAAATCTCCAAATTATTAGTCCAATCACCAGAGATCAATATATATTGATGATGGCAATTAAAATTCCATGCGTTCTAACCTTAGACAAGGAAAGAGAGGGGACCCGTAATACCGCATCCACGGCATGCGTGAATTTGACGCGAATTTCGAGACGACCGCCATATTTTCGGTGGCACTCAAAGCGCGGTGGCAGTGTGAATTTTTTGACATTTCTTCATTATTGATAAAGTTTGCGTGTGCAAAAGTGTGTGATATAAACGTGGTAAATTGTTCTGCGTACAACTGTAAAAGTTGCAGTGGTCGTTTTCCAGCAGGAATATCATTTCATAGGCAAGATAAAAAACGGCACGTTGTCTGGTTTGGCTAAATTTAATTAAATCTTCATGGTAGTTAATAAAACACTTTTAAGGTCTTCATTTTCATAATCTTACAATTGTCCTATATTTTTGTGCATCAATAAAATACTGCTTTATACTTCTTTTCATTGATAATTTCTCGATTACAGTAAGCAAGTGATATAACCTGCAAGCGATATTCCAGTGACGGCGTGACTATCTAGTTACATGACGTAACAGATATGTACATGTTTGGATGCCTAACCCTTAGGCGACTGATTACTTTGTATGGAGCAGTTTAACTACAGTGTATGTTGCCTTTGTACTTACATGTAGTACGACAGATAGGATTTGGTCTTCAAAAGAGAGAGGTCATCGATCGATGTTCGAAGCAAAACACATCGATCGCCTCCACATTCGATAAACACAAGATATCCTGAAGGAAGGTCGTTATGATTAAACCCGTTAGGGGAGAAGACAATTCAATTCAGTATTATCATTTATCACAGTCGTCATCGTCAACGGTTTGCTATAGTATCAACAGCTTAGGTATTACTTAAGTACAAGAAACTGAGGAAGGGGTTTAAAGAAATTCTTTTTAGACACGTTTTGTATTTGTCTTATGCGGCTATCGATTTCGACCTAACTGGTCATCTTCAGGCCGAGCGTCATTGATGAAGTGAAATGAATATAAAATTTTTTTAACGATGTTATATAGTAGTGGTCAGGAATGACAAATTAATGTACGAAAGAGTGAGGTTGTGTATTAGTATTTTAAAAACGCTGCGTAGAAATGGTTACAATTGATTATCGAAATCAGGGCTCCGTTCGCTTAACGTTCCGTGCGGTGCGTCCAATTTATGGCTTTCATGGACATCCTGCAGAGTCCACAATCCGTTGTTTAATAAAAAATTTGAGACAACGGGGTCAGTGATTGATGAAGCAGTTCCTGTACGCCACAGAAACGCAAGATCGTTGGAGAATATTATTGCCGTTCGGAATAGTGTACGAGAAAACCCCAGGTAGCCCATTCTGCAGAGTGCGCAAGAGATGGGCCTTTCTGGGACGTTAACTTGGCGGATTTTGCGCCGAGACTTGGGTTTTCAGTTCCCTAGTCTATGCAGACCAAGCACAGTCAATTGCTGCCCTAAAGACCAGTATAACTCGCTTTCTTCGTGAAATTCAGCCCAGTTTAAGCGAACATGTCCAAAATTGGTCCACCACAATGCAACGTCCACAGTGGAGTCGCGGGGACCATTTCACTGAAATTATTTTTCATAAATAATGTCATCGAATATCCTTTAAAATATTATAAAACTTGTGGTAATATTACTTAAACAGGTTGTTTTATTTCATTTCAAAGTTCGAGCGCTCTTAATGAAAAACCCTCGGAAAAACCCTTTACTTTCAATAATATGGCGCTTATATCGCGAACCCTGTTTCTGAAACGATCAAAGTCCAGTCGTATGTTTACGTTTATCGCGTTTTTTGTCTCTATTCAGATAGGAACCTAATATTATGTCCGACAACTGTACGCACAGGTTAATCATACCATGATCGCAGTATAAATAAATTGTAATTTCCTAATGTAATACCCGAGCGGGCGCCACTGGTGGTGGCAGTATGATCGCAATTTGCTTCACGCGCGCGCGCTCTATTACGGGTCCCCTCTCTTTCATAGTCTAAGGTTCTAACTCACGCTTTCAGCTGTTTGTTTAATTGACGTTTATCTTAATACGGCTTACGAAAGAAAGTGAATGAGGATTGACACGCACTAATCAGAGCGCTCTGGCCGTATGCGCGGAAAAATGGCGTTGTTAAATTCCAACATATAGATGGAGCCATCTATTAAATCGTTTCAAAAGTTACGAGTATCTTTCAACAAGTAACCATAACCAAAAATAATGCTTCATAATGGAGAAATTAAATCGTTACACCCTCTATTTCACCTTCAATTCTGTCCTCTATTTCACATTCAAGTTTGATCTTCAGTGACTTTGGAATGGTCGCGTCTACGTTTGATGTTAAAGTAGTTAGAGCGCGTAGGTAAAAGTAAGAAGAAGTTGATGAAAAATTGGTCACTTATTCTCTGAGACATGGTCAAGAGAAAAAAAAGAGTGCCGTTTCTGAGATATTTGACAGTAAACATAGTAGGGTATTCTAACATAGGCTCTTATGGACAGACTCTGTATTTTGTACCTACTTTTCTTGAGGTTGTTACTGTTACGTACCATATGAACAATACCGGCAAAAATATAAACAAGTCTTGGCAACACTGCTTTACCAACTCCAAATTGAAAATGCACTTGTTTGTCCCATTAAAATTATCTACCTTATAAAATCGTAGTTACTTGGTTAATAAATTGTATTATACAATTATCATGGGTATATTTCCATGGCGGTATAATCATATAGCCTTATTAGATATAGGACCATTAATTAAATTGTGAATCACGGTTATTTGTCATTAGTTAATTATACTGATTTTAATGGATGCTTAAATTGTAAGACCCAATACATCTGCCATAAACTTACTGTATATTTGCAGACCTGCAAGTACAATTGGAATAGTTCGCACGGCTAAAGCAGAACGACGCTTACGAGATCGTCTGAGGGAGGAAGGTTTGCTGACAGATGAAGATGACTTTAATTTATCGCCCGCAGAGGAAAGAACTCTACGTGCTGAGAAAAGAGCCGCATGGCGACAGGCCAGATTGAAGTCTTTAGAACAGGACGCGATCCAGGCTCAAATGGTTATCAAGTCGATGACGGACATGGTCGCATCCGGTGAAATAATTTCGGCATCCGTTCAAAACGAGGATACACCTGTAAAATCGTCAGAGGTAAAGATTTATGCATGAACGATTGTATGTTTTTTTTTAATTTGCTAACAATTGTTCAGTTAATTTTGATTAAAAATTGTTGTCACTAACAACAAATGTTAACATAACTGGACGCGATACGTATCCAGGGCGTTGGTACTAACGGCATTGCATGTATTCAGCTGAGACCTTCTAGTGCTGATTTCCCAAAGCTAACGGTGCGCAGTAAACCGGGAAGTACGACCGTTCGTGAAAGCGAGAAGATACTGGGAGAAACCGTAACGCAGAAAACAGAAGAGTACATAGATGACGCGACTGGAGAAAAACGAGTGCGCACCGTTGAATATGTTGAGAAACTGATCGAGAAAGAGGTATAGATCCATTCTGCAACATTCAAATACGCTTGCACCTAAACCATGGTTAGTTTACTTGGCACTAATTACAATTTAATTTTCCTTGTTGAATGCATTCTAATAATTGGGTTATGGCACTAATGCTATTTACGACTGGTGTTAGTATTCGCTCTCACTTTTGCAGAATTTTTTATAATTGCAATTGTAGATGCCTTTTGGTTTTTTGCATTTTAGTAATTTTCTAAATTATTTTTGCCTTATTTATTATTACTCATCTAGGCCAAATCAACTTTCATTCATTTCTATGTCTAAGCATTTTTGTTAAATTGGAAAATCTTGCTATCCAATGCAACTAATGCTAACAAATTGGTCCATATTGTCTGACATGTTTTTAACAACTGATACACTGTTTTTCGAAGTTATTCAAATCAAAATACAAAATGATGTCTAATGGCACATTTATATTAAGACTATTTGAAACCTTTGCAACGAGATCCTTGTACAGAGGTTACAAAATTGTAGGCAAACTATACTCTATTCATTTTAAGAAGGTAGCGGTAGAAAGCATAGGGAAGCTTTGACCTTCACTGTGGTTGGTTAAACCAAGAGTCTGTATTACGCCGACAAATAAAATGTGTGACCAATGTTGTTGTATTAGTAGTTTCGATTACGAACAAAACTGTCGAACTGACTTTAGATGTCATTTTCAATGATCCAAACGTGAAATCTGTTGATTTATTTTCATATGTTTCAAATTTGGTGCCGTTTTATATTTATCCTGTGTGTGTCTGTCTTTAAACACAGCGCCATCTACTACCTCCTTATAATTAATGCAGTATAGATGCAGCCGGCTACTAAATAAGAAAAAAGTTTATATTGCTGTGTGCAATGGTAGGCGGTCACTATACCACCCAACAGACACTTACCTGGCTAACTCAAATTGTACCTACAATTATTTAAGTTTTATTTTTCCGTTTTAAATTCCACAATTGGGTCCCGACACAACAAGAAAATCCTAACATTGACTTGGATGGATATTTTTCTCCCAATATTGAACTAAAGCAATATTTTTTATTCAAAACAAATATACTGTGGCGCGTTCGCACCTCCAGATTCAGTATGGGATCTTATGGACTAATTGCCTCTCTTACTAGTTTGCGTCATACTATCCTCGTTTCTTGAAAATAGTATGTAATTCTTTGTATGTTGTATGTCGTTCCCAATCAATTTCTGATTATGTAAACCTGACAATTTTAGATATACTAATGAAAGGTGTGGGAACTCTCAATGTAAATTATCATAAAAATTCGGCAATTGTTTGTAAATGTATTTGGCTCATACGCACAATTTTGGGTAGTTGATATTTTTATAGGATGTAATTTCTTTTTTGCATAGTGATTTTAGAGGGACAGTAAATCGCGAATGTCAATGATATTATTCAATTATGAGTTATTAACGATCACTATTGCAAAAAAATTTCGTGTACAACACGTGTTGAAAGTGTCTTTTTTTCATGAATTTTTGAAAAATAAATACAAAAATCTCAAAAAATAATTCATTCTAAAATAATCGCAGCAATAAATATGCTTAAAAAACAGCGGAACATACCGGGTGGTGCCTAGCGCGACGCAGCATAGGGATTTCAATGGTAATTTCTTTATAGTCAATTACTAGCTCCCCTAATTATTTTAGAGCAGAAGTCTAAATAAGTTTTTTTTAGAGAAAAAAATACTGAATCTGTTCAGGCTATTACTCATAATTTTCCGTTTTTGAAAACCGTAGAAATCGACAAAATAAAAAGGTTCATTTTACAATAAATCAAATATGCCTTGGAATTACCTAAAAAAACAGCGATCATGTTTCATTATTTGCCTTTGACGTATATTAAATTTATACTTGTTTATAAATTAGTTAAAGAATTGCAAGAGGAATAACGTTCAAAATGTCCGTCAAAACCATCAGGAAAACGACAATACATTCACCGTTTTGGCTGCAGTAGCGGAAAATCCGAATATAAGTTTAGGAACAAATGTGCTTCAAATCAGTTTTTTTTTCTTCGATTATGTAGGTACTCTGATTCTCTCTGATAAACAAATAGTATCTGATGCAGATGCAGCATTACATTCTCTAAAAAAAACATTACCCAATTGCTGCTTTTTCTTGCATCGGGTAGTTGTAACAGAATTAAATATGAAAATCGTTCGACGTCAAACAACCATAACTTAGATGCGATGCGATGCGCTTGTAGTTTGTTAAAAGATTCCAAAGCATCACTGATTTATAAAAATCTAATTTTTTATTTTGTCGATTTCTACGGTTTTGAAAAATGGAAAATTATAACAAAGTATGAACAGATGCAGTATTTTTTTCTCTAAAAAAAACTTATTTAGACTTTTGCTCTAAAATAATTAGGGAAGCTAGTAATTGACTATAAAGAAATTACCATTGAAATCCCTATGCTGCGTTGCGCTAGGCACCACCCTGTATACAAAATTATAAGTACCCGCAATCAAAGTGTAATCCACAATTATAGAAGTAGGTCAATAAATGAACTTTTTGCGTGTAATTTTTCGCACCTCGACGGATTTGCTTGAAAATCTGGATATATCTGGATACGTTCTAAATTCCGGAAAATGATAAATTGAGTAATTCTAGGCAACTTTTGTTCTATAGAGTTTTTTCACTAAGTCAATAGTATTCGAGTTATTTGCGAGTCAACAAAAAAACCACGTTTTCAGACGGTTTTTCACAAATAACTCGAAAAGTAAGTATTGTGTCGAAAAAAGTATTTCTAGCAAAAATATAGCTTATGAAAAACAAACAAAATGGTCTATATATGAAGTCTGTAGACCCAGTAGAAGCCAAGTTGTTGCTCATGAAAGGTAGGTTCTCATTCGTCAAATACCAAATCGAGTACTTCAATGTGAAATAACCAAAAAATGAATCACTTTTCGGGGAAAAGGTATGAATACTTTTTAAAGTATTTGAAAAAACCTTTCTTTTTGTTCCTAGCATCAAAACTAAGTGAGTTACGCTCAAAATAAAGTTGGTCCTTTTTTTTTGGTAAAAAAATTCGAGGAAATCACCCCCTAATTAGCACCCCAATTGTAATTAAGCGTTACCGCTTTACAGTTTACTTTATTTATGTATTGTTTATATGATCTGTAAGTTTGACCGGTGCAAAGTGCTTATTTTTGAAAACATATAGTTTTGAAATAAAAAAAAAAATTTGAAATTTTGAAAAATTGCCTTTTTTTTTCAAAATAAATTCAAAAGTATCAGTGATACGAAAAATTTACAAGAATAAAAAAATATAGCTTTTGCTTTTTTGAACATTTTACTTTTTTTTGTTTTTCTGTAAAACAAAAATTGGTTAAGATATGGCTGTTCAAAGTTTGCATACACTCGTCATTAGTGACTCATTCGAGCCCTTTCAACTACAACCCTTTCTAAAATAAGGGTTTAAAAAAAATTAATTTGAATAATATAAAAATAAATTTTATTGTTTTCTATTTGTTATTGAAAATCTACAGATCTAGGATGTATATTTCAAACAAAAAGGGTTGTTTTTTTAATTGAAATAAAATAAATTCGTAAACTTTTAATTAAAAAAATTACTGTATATATATAGTATCAATGAAGAAAAAAAATTACTACATCCATTCGAAAAGATCGACGGGGTGGATTTCTAAATAAATCACTTTTGAGCGCGAGGGAACTCTACTATAAGATATTTTGTCCTTTTATACGTCATTTCAGATTCAGTTCATAGGCGCCTTAAATTATAATTGTGTAGCCCCACTCTGAACTTTTTGCTGTAGTGACTAAAAAGTATGGCAATGGTTTTTGGCTACCATAATCAGCCAAAATGTGTAATGAATATACATATGTAAGCTGGTGACACTATTTGATTCAGCAGGCTAAACAACAGCAAAAAGGGCTCAACATCACTAAATTCTTCAACTTCAAGACTACAAGAATGAGTGCTTAACTAATACAACACAAAATGCTTTTTAACATAAAGGTGGGATTCTGTTTAATTAATGGTATCATACGCGTAGTATGTGTAATGTATTGTACGCTTTTAAATGAACATTTGCAATGCGTTGATTAGCAGGTATGATTTTATACTATACAAGCTCTAATCAGGCGCTATCCTCTGGAGAACCGTAAGAGGCGGGTAGGGATTTAAAATCCTTTTCTTGAGTTTTTCGCTTATATCTTAAGTTCATATTGCTTATTTATTACAGTGTATATTGGCAAAATTGAGTCACAAATTAATACTTTCACAGTCTACATAAAATGCATGTTTATTCTAAACTATTGTGAATCACTTTAAATTAACATGAATAAGGCTTCTACTTTGCCTGTTACTTTAAGTTCAATGTAAAATTCTGCAAATGTACAGCAATTCGTATTTCCCATCTTCTCAATTATATAAAATTCACAAACTAATGCATTATATTTATTAGGTGGAAACGTTACAAGAAAAAATAATATCATTAGAATTAACAAACGATGCTACTGTGACCGTCAATGGAAACAACAAGAACGAAGAAGATGACGAAAACGAATCAGAAGAGCCCACGACTCCAACTGCCGGTGATAATACTACTTTAGGTGACGAATCTAATCTTAATAATAAGAAAAAGAAACGAAAAAGATCTAAAAAAGGTAAACATTAGCGTTTAAATGTAAGTGTATGATGTTTATTAACTCCAAGGTGGATGGGTCTTCTCGGTAGTGTAATTAACTTATTTTACGAAAATGTACAAAGAGTATTTAATGTTTGTCATTGCATATTTTAGTCACGCCTTTCACAAAGGAATCGGTATTAAAAGCAAGTATGTCTTTAACAAAAAGTATTTTAATGTTACATAGAGATTAATATTTTAATATGGTGGTTTATATATACTTGTCATTTTATAAAATATTACAACACTATTGACATAATATTAATTTAAATAAATAAATTATAAAAATAACTTCCATGTTTGATTATTTCTTCGGGGCAATTATTCCCTCTAATTGTGTCTGAAAATTAATTGTGCAATACAGGAAACTGTGTAAATTACAAACCTTTAATTGCTGATTTGTTTTCTTTAAAAATTGGATCTCTTCTGAATGTTTCTTTTCTTCTGCAATTCTCAACTCTGCTGCTCTGCGTTCAGATTGCTCGGCCTTTTGCCGTAGCTCCACCAGTTGGCGTTCCACGTCCACTTTTTCATTCTTTAATTGATCCAAATCGGTTTGTAGATCAGATTTTCCTTGTTCTGCTTGCAATGCTTTTCTCATTCCAAACGCTATACTACTACAATACAATGCTTGGTAAGCTTCCATTGTCATATTCATTTCATCCCGTACGCGCAACAGTAATAAGCCTCTTTCAGCGCAGTTGATCGTTATTTGTCTAATTAATTCGTCAAAGCATTGCGTGTATAATTCTCTACGGACGGGACATATACCAGTTTCTCTTGCCTAAAAAAGTTCAATTTAAATTACGTGCAATTGTAGCATGAAAGTAGTCTTTGTAATGAGTTTTACAATGGACAGATAGATGGCATTAACATCAGCTGTAAAATTTAAAACTTGGTGTACTACGACGCCAGATAGATTGTAATCAAAAATGAGAATCCAACATACATACTAACAACCAGAAAAGTTTCTTTTTGATTTAGACGAAGCGATTCTGCATGTGTAGTTGGGAATATATGGCGTCTAGTCGGATTAAATCAAAGGTTGGACATTTAATAATAATAATAATGCATTTATTGAAAACAACATAATTATAATTACAATGTTCAAGATAAAGATAAACAAAAATAAATCGTACATTATGTTAAAAGAGAACAGAGTAAGTAACTTAAGAACTGCACACTTGTTGTTTCCAAATGGAATAAGTTCAACCAACTACTAAGTAGAAGCTTGGTCTTCCACTCAAAGGGTATGTAAATGATTATTTAAAAATTTTCGCACTACCAATGCAAATTTTCTGTCACATCAGACCTTATGCGCGTCAGGTATCGATGGTTGTATATTTTTACTCCCCAGTATATGTGCTTTGTTGAGTGGCTGCCAGTCGATGGTGAAGTGTTCTTAAATTTCTTTGGTTTCACGTTTTTCACAAAGGGCCCTTATACAGGGTGATTCCTATAGTACCTGCCACCGTTTGGGAGCGTGTAGGTGGTGCGTAGGGGAGTATTTTGATATAGGACACTTGGGGTCGGAAATCTAAAATAAGGGTGCCAGAGCCAAATTTACCTTCTGGAATTTCGCGCCTGTAGGTAGGCAACCCAACCGGCCGGCGGTGCACACGGAGCGATCTCAGGCGGCAATGTGTGGCTGACACTTGATCAGAATTTTGTTTAAACCCACGAAATCCCGTCTGCAACGACGCGTATCAAGTGAATAAACACTATGGCAATAGTATAATAATAGTTGGCTAGATGTAGGAAGTGCATTGAGAACAACGGTGGCCACGTTGAACACTTGTAAACGTTATTGCTTTTGATGTCGTTTTCCCTCCTTCCCTCCCATGTCGCTTCCTCGCGCTAACTCGCTCTGCATCGCTCCGCGCGAAACGTCGGTCGGTTGGGTTGCCTACATACAGGCGTGAAATTCCAGAAGAAAAATTTGGTTCTGGCGCCCTTATTTTAGATTTCCGACCCCAAGTGTCCTATATCAAAATACTCCCCTAGGCACCCCCTATACGCTCCCAAACGGTGGCAGGTACTATAGGAATCACCCTGTATATGAATTAAGGGATTGACTGATTCCTGTCCTGAGGTACCAACGCCTTTTCTGGTTTTCAATGAGCGTCGATTTGGGCGCTTGACTTCATGTTTGGTTCATCCTACGGCTCCAGTTCTGCTTACTAAAAATGAACCACTTGGCACTCTAGATCCGATCTTTAGGCTTTGTATGTTGGACAAACAGGATATCTCGCACATTTAAAGTTTGAGAATAGGTTGAAGTCGTTTCGATCCCGATTTGCTCTAATCATTCGCTTTACTGCATGAGGTTTGCAAAGCGAGCGCCATCTATGCTAAGGGAAACTTCGGTGGGAACCAGCTACTAGACGGTTCGATTGGTTTTTCGCCCCTATACTCAGTTCTGACGATCGATTTGCACGTCAAAATCGCTGCGGACCGCCATCTGGGGTTCTGAAAATGCCCAAAGCAAAAGCGTCGCTGATGATCGGACGTCTGTATGCGCGCGTGGAAGCACGCAGGCCCGGGAACATTCGTTTTTTTTAATGTCATTGATTTCAAAAAAAGCTATGGACCGTTACAAATCAGAACGAGGCGATGGCGGCTTTGCCGCCAGAGCCCAGCGTAAGTCTCACCAAAACCAGTGTTCCCAAAATTTAAAAAATCTTATGTGCTGATCTGGATTCGACAAGTTGAATCGAAATTTTCAAAAAAAATCACTTTGTAGAAGTGATGTTTCCAAAAAACAAAAATATTCCTCACAAATTAAAAAAAAAGTTAATTCCGTCTACTCAATAGCATTTTCTTACCGCACCAAAATTGAAGCTAAGAAGTTGTTTTTGTTGAACAGTGAAAAGTGCGAGGCGAAGCCAAGTTATGAACTATTACAAATCAGAGCGAGGCGAGGTAACAAAACCGCCGGAGCCGAGTGTATGTTTCATCAAAACCAAACAGTGTTATCAAGATTAAACAAGTATAAATTGTGCAATAAAACGCATTTTTTTAACCGAAATAGCTTTTGTTTTGACATCACCAATGGATATTATATTTCTTGCAGACGTCTCAATCGCCCTTTGTGAATACCCTCTTCCGACAATCCGTTCTTGAGGTATAAGGGCATATATCCGATCAAGATAAGAGGTTGCGAAGGAGAGCTATGGTTCGTAGAAGTTAATTCCTTTCGTTGAGACCTTTCATTAGAGTACCATGAAGGATAAAACTAATTAAACCTTAAATTTATTACATTTTGTTTTTTTTGACCTCAGATTTGAAATCAGCGACCTCAAATTATCCTTAAAACATTACTCGCAAGTCGCATGCCATTCTTGAAATACAAATAAGTATATATTTTTTTAGTCAAACAGATTTTTTCTTAAATTGCCGCCATATTGATCCCACATGGTGGGGGAAGGTGGTGCTGCGAGCCAAATAGATTTATTGGACATAAAAATCGACCCGACCATGCCAAAAGGCATGCTTTCTGCATTATTCGTCAGATTTGTCAGAGGTACCGCTAAGACTATTAAAAATCGTTAGTATTTGTTATAAAGCTTTTACTTCCTCTGAACGATCAAGTTCAGTCAACTTTGCCACACGTCCGTCGATGGTAGGCCCACGGGCGGTGTGTATAATGGGCAGGGACGTAATCAACGCGAGCATATGACTCGCGCTTACTAGGAATTGCTCGTTCATAGGGAAGTATTTCAAGCTCCAATCCCTAACACGAAGGAATTTCAGTGGATTACCCGGACCTCTAAGAACATATATTTGTCCGCAGACAGTGTAAGAACCGTGCAACCGTAGCACGCGCTCGTCCCCCGACGGCGACGTACGCTCCGCACCGAGCTACGACCTTAGACCATAATAGCACATGGACTGCTATTAGTCCTATGCTTTCAATACAAAATGGGCGGTCACGGATAGAGGGCGCCGTAGTCGTGGGTATGTGAATCTCAGGGTAAACTAAAGTCGTGTAAACACCACTCGGATCGCGTAAAGAGTAGCTTTTATAGTAACCGCGTAGTATGGGAAGCTTTAAATACTCTTGATTATCGTCCACAAATAAGAATAGGTTTGCTTGTTTGGCATATCTAGGCGATTAATTAATTGACGTTTGTTAATTTATATGTTGACAGTCTCAAATCGTGTCTAATCGGATAATTTCGGACAGACTCGTTTACCCTGAAACTTACATGCTCAGGCGATGTCCTTGACCATATTTTAGTTACAATTAGCAATCCAAAGGCTACGACGCACCGGGAGACGTTTGATCGCGAGGAACGGCGACCTTCGAGATGCTTGTGTTTGAACGAACGCGACGATTACGCGCGAAGCGTGCGCCTCGGTGCGTTCTGTTGGCAGTCTCGTTCGTTATCGGAATTAACCAGACAAATTGCTCCACCAACTAAGAACAGCCATGCACCTTCACTCACTGACTCAAGAAAAAGCTCTCAACCTGTCAACCCTCTTGTGGTGCCCGTGGCCGGGCCTGATGCCGGACCTACTTACCAGTTTATATTCATTTTTTTAAATCTACATAATAACGTAAAAATTGAAAATTTTGTTTGCGGTGTCTTCAATCTGACACACCACTCCAGCCCAATTATTGAATGCTGAAAATAGAAATGACAAAAACTTTTTTAATTTGCCGAATCAGGTGCTTTACCCAATTTAAGTCCTTTAAATGATCCTTTCACATTTTAAGGTTGCTTTTCTTTTATAAATTATTTTCGCGTGGCCTTTTCTAATTTTTAAAAACTTATTATATTCTAAAATATTAACACCGCCAAACGCGCGCGTACAACGGATGTAATTTTAAAAAAAATACTCTAAAATTGCTAAAAAGGCAATTATTTATCATACTTAGGTATACTTCGGATGCGTTTCTGGTTTATCAAAGAGTTGAGTTATTTAATTTTGAGGTTGATTCAATTAAAAACACAGATGCACAATTATTTTTGATTTTGTCCATCTTACCTGTCTTTGCTGTAATCGCATATCTAACTGTTCTTGCAAATTAACTACGTCTAGCCTAGTTGCAGGAGTTGTCGATACTTGTTGTCTCCATTTCTGTCCCTCTTCTTCCCATTCTTTGGGCGGTAAAATAGCATTCAATATCTCTTCGGTCTCCCGACGTTCATCTGCTGTCGGTGGCGGCGCTGATTTTGCACGCGTTGGCGATAACTATGCATCTTTTGGTAAAAGAAATGTATGAAATTATTGAAAAATTTACATTGCGCTCTGCTAATTTATCATCGTGCTTCGTTATTAATACGGGATTATCGTATTTAACCAAGGTACTGCTGTCTGGAATTAAACGTTCTGCAGCTGCCATAATATTCACAAGTTATTATCTAAAAATTGACATAAACACCTTCCTGTTGCTATAGTGATATGGAATATACAAGGTGGTATAATTTACGACAAAATCATAAAATAAAATAAAAGCCGACTACTTCGTGAATCGCGATCATGATTTTAAGATCGTGATTCTAAGGATTAAGGTAAGAATGTATGTAGGTACCTACTTATATGTGCTGTGCTAGTAGTAGATTTGGTTGATTGAATCCGGTATCTCTAAAATCCTTTTTGTTTTCAGGCCAAGCAGATGTATGATTAATGAAATTTTCTTCGTCAAAACGTGCACGAATTGTCAGGTAACCCTTTTTCCGACAGTCTTCCAGACTACAGGGTGCATCCTATACTCTTCGCCTTCTTTTCTGGCGTCATTGACGTGGCCAGTACAGAAGCCACATGGTAATAACACATTTCCTCTTGCGATTAATTCTGTTCTCTGCTACAGAGACTACTAACAGGACTCGACCGGATCGGGGAAAAACCGGCCAGGCGTGAAAAGTTGTTATGCCGACCTGGTACCGGCAAACATTTACATCAAAAATGAAAGCGATTTTAAATAATAAAAGTTAACGGTATCAAACACATGATTCTGCATTAAGGTTAAATCAATCTTCAAAAACAAAGATTGAATGTCACAAAAATATAAAATATTGCATACAAAACACAAATACATTATAAAGAAATACAAAGATTGCTACTTGACTTCCATTAAATAACACAAAAAAACAACAAACGTGTGGTAACCTATCTCTACAGTTAGGCAACACACCTTTACATCTGAAACGAAAAAACGATACGGTGTGTATACAACCAATCGTGCCACGCTTTCCATTTTGACCGTTCTGCGCAGATACTGAAAACCAGGGGGTGTTTATAACGAAGATAAAAGATTGGGGGAAAGTTGGCGTCAGTTAACAGCATTGGAATGGGAGCCGGCTTTGTGTAAGGCGGCAATTTTTTTCTGTTTTAAACAGTGTCTTTACTCTTTACATGTAGTAACCATTTTGTACTAATTTTTGAATTTCATGTCACAATTTGTTGCTATTTACGTTTTGCATATAATATTTGTTATTGAGGCAAGGCGTACTCCATCCTTTTGTGTTGAGTACCGTTGTCTAAATCATGTTTGCTTGTTATACTGTAGGTACAATGATTATACTAATATCTTGTTTTACTTATGTCTTCACTAGGAAGTTTATTATCCATGTGATCTTGCTCTGCATGATCCGATTTAACTATTGCGTGAAGGAAGTACCTAATACAGTCGGATTCTTTACTTAATCTGTTACTTTCTTACTTGAGACCCCCTGCCGGGCGGTGTGTAACCTATACGAGAAAGGAGGTCCTCTACCTTGATGTTTCTCTGTATGAGTGGTTTACCTGTTTTCCGTGGAGGAAGTACGTCATACAGTTGGATTCTTTGCTGTATCTGCTGCCTGCTCGTCTCGTACGGATCGCAGCTCTTGGCATCTTGGCAATGCGAGCAGGGGGTCTTTAATTAACCTTTCTTCTATTATTTAAAGTGGTTTGCTTGTACCATAAAGGCAGGAGCATACCTTCCTGACGCAACGTGACATGACGCCACGCAACGCACCGCAAATCTAAACGCGTCAGAGCTCGAAGCTTTCTTAAAAGAAACACAGGGCTTCGTGCACGGTACAGCCATTGAGGGTGTATAATCAATGGTACAGCTTAAGAACTCCGCTTTCACTCAAATGGAAGTGGAAAACAGTAAATAGGACACCCTGTACAAGTGTACACGTTACTCTTATATTCACTCAGGAGGTACTGGAGACACCAAATGGCCAAATCATAACCTAATTGGCAACGTATAGATAACGTTTGTTTGTTAAAAACTTAGAGGTTAAAAATATAAAAATTGCGCTATGTCGTACCTTAGTAGGAAAGAAGTTGACGATTTAAAGCCAGCGATTGATAAAGCCGTTTTAAAATTATTGGGCGATAACGATTCATCGCTGGTCAGTACCGCAATTTATTGTTTAAATTCAGGTTATGATAAAAGAAAAACTGCTGATAAACTTTCATCTTATGTTGATAGCAAAAGAGCAACTAGACTTTCAGAGAAAATATTCGATCTTGTCGATGATGCCCGCTCGTCGTATAAGTCACGCAAACGTTCGAGGTCAAGGGACCGAGAAAAGGAACGAGACTCGAAAAGGAATAAAAATGCAAGAAATTACGACAGTGACCGAGAGACGGACAAAGTCAAACTATCCAGCAGTAAAATTAAAGAGATGATGCAGAATGCGCAAAAGCAAATAGAGGAACGTAAGAAAACATTAGATACATTACCAAGCAAACAAGACTCGCCCAATGCTTCAATTCCTCCACCGAGTATATACGGCATTCCGATGGGTTTATTAAACCGGGGAGATGCGGACAAAGCTAGAAAAATCGCCCAGCTGCAAGCGCAAATTAAAACTAAACTTTCAACTGGAATATTAGGAAATGTGATTATTCATGTGCCAACCGCTCCAGAAAAACCAACTCCATTAATTCTGGATGACGAGGGTCGTACTGTTGATAAAACAGGTAAAGCTGTACAATTAACACATATTGCTCCTACTCTAAAAGCTAATATACGTGCAAAGAAACGGCAAGAATTTAGAACACAGTTGCATGAAAAATTATCTGACGACAACAATGAACCGAAGTTTTACGATAACCGTATTGGAGCTAAACCGGCCATGAGAAATAAACGCACCTTGAGATTTCACGAACCAGGCAAATTCCAACAGCTCGCCGAGAGGTTACGCATGAAAGTATTTTGTAATTCCTTATTCGTCAACAAATCTTCAAAATGTCTTTTTTAGGCTCAGTTAGAGAAACTGCAGAATGAAATTTCGCAGATAGCAAAAAAGACCGGCATATCATCTGCTACAAAATTGGCTTTGATCGCTAAATCTGAAGGAACCAATGAGGACATCCCCTCGATGGAATGGTGGGATTCTGTCATTTTAGAGGATAATTTGGACACGATTAGGGATGGAAAGATAGCCATTAAAAGTTATATTGTCAACACTTTGGTTGAACATCCGACACAAATGAGATCTCCAAGTAAGTAGTATGGATATTCTATGGTAGGCAGTCTTTTGGTGAGTGAGAATTTTGTGGGCTTATGTAATTTAAATAGATTTTTACAAAGGTGTTCAAAAATTGTAAAGAATGTCTTGAAAAGTCTTTGTAATTTCTTGCAACTTATTACATTAGTATTACCGAGAGTATTACATAAGGTGTAAAACTGCTCTCAGATAAAACTAGCGTTTTTAACAATTTATCACAATTGATCTGTGTTTGTGGCATTCTGAACGTCAACAAGTTTATTACGCAAGCAATTTACTGGCAAAAATGAAAAATTCATAAGTATGTAAATGTAATTTTACATACAGTGCGTACATTTTAACTCCGAACATACAAATCTCCTTTGGTTGCATAAAATTAGGCGTCCTTCAGAAGCATCGAGATAGTATAAACGGAGACGCTATTTAGCATCTAAACAATACTATTAAAATGGGACCTGTGGGCGGGGCTTAGTGTCGTACCAATATGGCCGACTTGCCAGGGCCGGATCCTATTGTTTTTAAGCTTAATTACCAAATGTAATAATGTGTTACAAATATGGAACGATTATAAAAAAAGTTTAAGTTTTTTTGTGTAGGTGCGAATGGGGTAGTTTTAAAAGCTATCAGTAAATATCAAATGACTAAGTACCTATACCTAAATTTTCTTGGTGCAATTGAATTGTGAAAGTTAAGTTGACAAATGGTGCATAATAGGTACCTACAATATGCATAGGTCGGCTTTATCGTGATTAAATTGACAGTAAGTAGGTACCTAAACTAAATGCTGAAATTCTATCAATACTAGCCTGTATTGTGTTTGTACTTACCTATGAAAAGTTATTCCAGTTATTTTCTTTTTGTCAATCCCATCCCGGGCATAACAACTCCGCACAGCACAACACACCATGTCGATAAAACGCAATTTATATAAATAGACCGCAATAATTACGGAAATAATTCGAAAATCACAACACAACACAAAATCTGACGGATGACGGATGTGTAGTAACAATATGGCGGACCGGGTCCCGCTTTGGTCACTTGATGTCGTCTCCATTTATACTATCTCGATGTTCAGAAGTGATTTTGTGATTAAAAGTAGACATAGAAAAATACAATATACGCAAATCCCTATGTCTACTTCTTAATGAATATCACTGTATGTATTCAGGCATTCGGCCGGTTTGTTTAGCGGAGTTAGCTTACTAACTGTGAAGTTTTAAAGTGGTGTTATGATGTTTTTTCAGTTACTGGAATTTTACTCATTTGCTGTGAATTGTCAAATTCAATACGGACATGTGAAATTTCAAATTGTCTAGCTAAATTACGAACAGTGATGTAATTGAGTTTCATCTCCTTATGCTAAAGTATTTAACTTCATTTCTACAATTCAAACACAGCAAGTTCTTTTTCAGGTGTGATGTTCATTAACAATTCAGCCATCAACATGAAATTATTTTTATGCTGTTGTGAATTGTGCTAATTAACGGAATTTGCTTATCAGGATATTTAGCAGCAGATAAATCATATGATTATTAGAATACATCTGTAACATTTCAATTTTTTGTATACGTTTTATGAAGAATATAATTAAGAATCCCTTAATTTAATAATTAATTTAGATATTGACCGTTATTCAAGAACATTTGAAAAAATGAAAGTAGGTAAGATTGGTTCTAGGATTGGTTGCATATCGTAAGGGGTACCTATTTGATTTGTATATTTAACAATTGAGCATAGGAGATTTGTATGTTCGAACTTAACTTTACACTGGCATCATATCTTGGATTGCAGCTCCAACACACTTGTATTTATCGAGTTTACTGTGGTATATATCTGCAAAAGCAGTGCTAATGTACAACAAACTTTTGTACATTGCATACTCGACACTTAACTTTCTATCTTACCAAGGTCTTTCTCAAAGGGGGCAAAAATTTTATAATGCACATATTCATAGTTGTGGTTATTACACTCATATTTCACAGATTATTTTTAACATGTTTCTTATTGAAGTTTTTTTTTAACAGCCGATCCGTTGAGACCTGCGTATATGCCGGTATTTTTAACAAAAAAAGAACGAAAGAAATTGCGACGTCAAAATAGAAGAGAAATGTGGAAAGAAGAACAAGAAAAAATCCGTTTGGGTTTAGAAGCGCCTCCTGAGCCCAAGTTGCGCATATCCAATCTTATGAGGGTTTTAGGAACAGAAGCTGTACAAGATCCGACGAAAATTGAAGCTCATGTTAGAGAACAAATGGCGAAACGTCAAAGAGCTCACGAAGAAGCGAACGCCGCAAGACAGTTAACTACAGAACAAAAACGGCAAAAAAAGATCAGGAAGGTAAAAGAAGACACGTCCCTTGGCGTCTTTATATCTATTTTTCGTATTAGAGATTTACATGAACTAGCTTCGAAAAAGTTTAAAATTGAAACGAATGCGAAGCAGTTATTTATGACAGGTTGCATCGTACTTTATCCTGACTGCTGTGTTGTAGTAGTGGAAGGTGGTACCAAGCAACAAAAGAAGTATAAAAAGTAAGTGCACTATTAGTATGTAATTATTACTAAAATGCGTTACCGTTTTGTAGATTAATGCAGCACAGAATTAAGTGGGAGGAAGATATAGTTAAAGACCCTGATGGAAACGAAGTACCGAATAAGTGTGTTCTGGTTTGGGAAGGAACAAGCAAACAACGAAATTTTGGCGAAGTGAAATTTAAGGCGTGTCCAACTGAACGATTGGCTAGGGAGTATTTTAAAAAACACAAGGTGGAGCATTATTGGGATTTAGCCTATAGCAATGCTGTGTTAGAACCAACAATTGAAGTATGATTATGTGGTTAACTTATAATTTGTATGTAATTTCATGATGTACCGCTATTTATAATACACATACTGATATGCAAATAATAGATAGACAAACATTTTATTTTATGGCATTAAAAATACAGAAATTGATCATTTACCTTACCCTCTAACTTACTAACCAAAGATAATACTACACTAGATAGACACCGTCTGTATAAATTTTAAACGCTCAATTTTGTACGCGGGATATGTTGACTCTGTCCACGGAAAATGTTTTTACCACAATAGTAGCGATTATTCACTGTATTTTGCAGACAATATTAGAACAATGGCTCTATATTGTGTGTTAGTCAAGCGCGGCCTTGTGTAGGCGTATCGCATTCTTTCACTGTTCTTTTTCTGCTCTAATTTGAATTAATAATATATTCCACACTGAACAGTTACAGAAAAATCTGCCATATTTCTTATAAAGAATGGAAGGTACCTTCAGTTTCAGCCTGACAATCTACCTGTTCCTGTTTACAATTATGTACACAATTTTAGCATGTTCAAAAATGGCTCGTGCTAGGAAGCTAAAAAAGTTTTTGACAGTCGTACATCTTTTATGCCTAATGTAGACTACCAAAATTTTAACGAAATAAAAATAACCGTTTTGGTGAAAAAAAATATTTTAGCATTTTGTCTTTGACACTTTTTTCTCAGTTTTTTTGTCATAAAACCTGAAGGTCTTTGGAAGAATTAAAAAAAAATTCAATGACGTTATTTTAAAATTCGACCCGAACATAGACAATTAACACGGGAAAAATGTTTTTTGTAGATTGTGCTCCCCATGTTATCTTAAAGGGCTTATCATGACACGTGACACCAATCGAAAGAAAGATTGTTTTATCATCTAATCACATAAAAATTAGTTAATTTTCGGTTGCATTTCCCATTATTTCATCAAAAATTTGGAAATAAATGCAATTACCAAAATCATGTAAGCCATGACCATTAGTAAAACAAAAAGCAGATTCAAATGTTATTCAATTCTTTAGAAAATTTCCAATTGAGTCAAGGCTTAACATGATTGCTAATTTTGTTGAATTTTTTATGAAATTATGAGAAATATACCTGAAAATGAACAAATTTGCATATCATTAGATGAGAAAAAATCTTCTTTCGATTGCATGGGGTCATCATAAACCCTCGGAAGTCGGAAGTTAACCTACATGTGGAGCAGTAGTAGAGCAACAATCTGCAAAAACTTTAAATTTTTTAATATGTTAATTATTTATGTTCCGTTTTGAAATATTCACCAGGTGTGCCTGAATTCAAAATTTAAGCGACGGCGTGATTTAGTTTCTCTGGAAAATATAAATTCGAAAAACGGTCAAATTTTGCGAAGAAAAGGTTATAATAGCGAATAATAAAGTTAATGGTATACCTACTATGTTACATAAAAAATAAAAAAATACTCTACAGTACTTTTGAATTTCTCAATAAAATATGGGGTGTTCCATTTTAAAAAAACGGATGTTTGATACGCTAGTGAAATACAGCACGCCACTGGTGACCAGAATATTAACATTTTTGCTCCTCCTTTTTTTCCGATATCTTTTATGGTAAAGACATTACGATCCGAGGGGGATGTTACACTTGTATAAAGTATGTACATATTATACAAAGGGTAGTTGCTACTTACAAAATCCCGCTTGCAACTTACAAGGAAAAACATGCATTGAATTTGTTGAATTCGTAACTGTGATTCAACATTCCAGCCTGATAAAAGTGCGTAATATTCGCAACGTGGCGGAAATTCTCAGAGACGCCTACAGTAGACATTTGCTTTACCTTTAAAGGTAATTCAATCTATGAAAATACGTAAAGGAATGTGGGGTAGGGTAGGTCTAAGGAAGAGGAAGAGATAATATAATGCAGCTCGTGTGTCGAATACGTACGATTGTCGATTATACGGCTTCCGATGATAGGCTTAAAGTCACTAAATACAGAAAGTACCGCAATCCATTGGGCTCGTGTGTTAGAGAGAGAACGCATGATTTTGCCCAAAAATGGCGGAAGTTACCAGATTCTAGTAACTTTAATGTAAGGGATTGTTCCACCTGTTTGGAGATATCTGTATATATTTTTATAAAAGCCGCTTTACATTAGGCAATTTTAGTGCAATGCAAGGCTTGTGCTATGCAATCTAAAATTGCCTTGCTTATTACGGTTTTACATTTATGCAATTGTGTTGCAACTTTTGGGCAAGTTCAGAAAAGTGTTGCAGTACTGACAACATATTTTCCAAAAATTGAAACTTTTCAGTTTGTTTACACAGAAGGTTATTCTTGTAACTTAATAAAATTGACCATTAGGTATGAGCAAACAAAAGGAAATTAAGCTGGCTACAGCTTGTTATGTGGTGGCGCTTGCTATTAAAAAAAACACACAAAATAACACACGCGAAACCCAAGCGAAACCAAATAAATTGTGGTATTGACAAAATTACTAGAAAAGTTATTAGAACTTGCGCCAAACTTGCAAGTGAAATAGAACTTTCTCTATTTATTTTTCCTGAATTGCGTATGAACATGCGCAGTAACGTATCTCTAACTTGCATTGCTCTTACCAATGAATAAAGGCTCTTACATTGTACGAAAATTGCCTAATGTAAAGCGGCTTTTTAAAACATAACAGTACTATGAAGTTAGGTTATAAAAAATGACAGCTATTCAGATTTTACTTGTCAATTTTTTTAAGTTGGCAGCAAATTTGCCCAAAAATGGCGGATGATTGCAGTACTTTCTATATCTAGTGATTTTAGATAGGCTTAATTGCAAGAGCCCCCTATATCTTCTTTACCATCTTGGAAAAATGGCGGAAAATCGGTAGAAATATTGAAAATTGCGAAATCTACATTTTTGGGCCGAATTTCGTCGCACTGTAGTGGCGGTAGTTTTTATCCGAGTTTCATGAACAAGGGCTCATCTCAAAGGAAATTTTATGTACTTTAATTTATTACTGATGTTTCTTCGCCAAAAAACTGATACCAAATGAGTTATTTCGCGTTTTGTGGAAAAACCGCCGATTTTCCGCCATTTTTTCAAGATGGCTGCTCCCGCGTCATCCGGATTTTTGTGCAAATGTCAAATTCGGATTCAGCGACCCAAAAAACATAAACCCTGCATCATGGTTCTTTGTCTCAGAAATTTGCAAGGCCAAATCCTCTGGGGCCTGGACTATAAAAGTAAGTACCTACCTGCTAAGTACATTTCTAGTTCACGAAAATATACAATCTTAATACCTTGAGGGTCAAAAAGGTAAGTATCTGCAAACATCTGGCACAATGTATAGTGATTTGGCTTCATCATCAAACTTTGTTTTTTCTTATGGAAGCCATTTTAACTGTTTGTGTCATTTGATAGAACATTTTTTGCTGATTTCAAAAATGTAATCACTATTTTTGTAGTAAGAAATAAAGCTAATTATTTAGAAAATAGTATATTAAGATACAAGTGTATAATCAAGTCTTTAAAGCACGCGCAACGAGTTTAAGGGCACGACGCAAAGCGGAGTGCCTTTAACGTTGCAAGTGCTTTAAAGACCAATTATACACGTGTATCTTATAGTATTTTTTATTATACCTGCAGTATAATTTAAAAATAGGAAATACAATGAAGTCATATTGACGTTATACTCGAATACATGTCTAATTAAGTGGGCTGGGTGTTCGTAATTTCACGATTGCCATGGAAATGTCACTTGACGTTTGCTTATAAAAATCATGTGAATTAAACGATTTCCGTTGAAAAAGATAATACACCGTCCATTAAATCGATTGTTGTAATATCTAAACAAACGTTGGTAGGTGTAAAATCCAACTCCAGTAAAGCCTATTATAAAGAATATGAAAAGTTGTTTCCATGGATGAATAGGAAGTTACTTACGAATACAGTCTTAAATGCATCCATAATGCTGGCATATATGAAGGAAATGTCAAAGGTATTTAAATCTTCTATATTTTGGTGCATTCATTCAAAACTTTAAAGCAATGCTGCGATTAAAAAGTGGAACAGATTTGGAAGCATACCCTAAATTACGCGCGTTTGTGAAAGCTTCAACCAAAGGATAGGTACAAAAGCCAAAGAAATGTTCTGCATTTATAGAAAGCGACCTAAGAGGATTTTTTATTTCATCCAGATGACAGTTTCAAAAGTCATACTTGAAGTATCGTTACTTAGCAACTTTAAAGCACGTGTGTTTTAAAGGCCCTTTTTCGCACGCATTTGAGTGTTTAAAACGGAGATTGTGATTCAGGTATAGGTAATAAAAAATTACAATAGAAACAAACTATCAATATCTCATTGCATTGGTAAAGTAAACAAATGATCAAGAAACTATACACTTGCTGAATACGTTTCATACCTACTTATTATTGAGTAGGCAAATTGTATATGGAGGTAATCTATAAGAACTTTGTGTCCATTCTCTTTGAAAAATTAGTAGTAGTAGTAAGTGAATAAAAGGGAGCATATAATTAACAAAAAAATACTTGTAAGTACTCCTTCACACTGGGCGACTTAGCAGCGCTGCTAAACAGACCAGTATGAAGGGGCACTTACGAGTATTTACTTTGAATTTTGCAAGTACGAGTATAAGCATTTGCTCACTTTTATTCATACGGGCCATTGTCTTTCCTAAAAGCTTGAATTAAACTCCAAAGATAATTTTTGTGTATTTACCCATTGATTCTAGAACATTATATAGTTTTCCCCTTACCAACACAAAAATTTTCACGCGCGTTCCTTAGTAAGTCAGCCAAAGTAAAGTGTTCATTTTACGAGGGATAATTCCAAACCTTCCCGAAATAAAAAATTTTTATGCATAAGCTGGTAACCACAGACGAAACGTCAGACTTAAAATCCCTTGTAGAGGGAAAAAAGTGGCCATATAATAATGTGTCATTTATTTTGAAATCTTTTTAAATAACTTCGGTAAAAAATAAAAACGATTTTGCAAAATTTTATTTTTTTCAAGATCTCTATGAAATCGGTTGGAATTTTTTCACTTTCAAAACAGCATTTTGTTAAACATCAAAATACGCAACTTTGCCAAATTTAAAGTACCTACCTATCTCTTACAGTTCCTGAGATCACCATGGTGGTCCTCAAATTTGAATTGGCCTGGATAAGGTCAGAAAATTTGTTATTGAGAGTAGTTAACAATTTTGGTATTTGATAAGATTTTTTGATTCTCATTAGACATACTTATGCTCAGCTTCAGCGGGTATGTAGCGTCGCCACACTCAGATACGTGAATACCCATACCTTAATTCCGTCACATTTTTGAAAGTTATTACACTTAGAATTGATTATTTGCGTCGAACCGCCTGCAATCTGAAATCGCTACACAATTTTCCCGCAATCTTAAGTTTTTTCGTATCTCCCCTCTTTTACCCGCTATAAATTTTTAAACTTTCCACTACCAAAAATAGAATTTGCGCGTTCGTGCACTTGATGCTCTCCTCTACCTCCGGAGGGACTGACCAAAAAAAATTCAAGCAGTGCACACCCCCAATAGCTAAACATTCCAGAAGCAGCAAACCTACAGGTTGAATATCTCCTTATTCAGGACCGAAAATGCATTTGTTACACCATCCTCTTTGGCAGCCCCCTCACCCACATAGATGTGATAAAAAATCATCTACTATTGCTTTCTGCATGCATATCACGCTAGCCCACTTCCATTACTTACATATACCATCGAATTTATAACACTTTTTATATTTTCAGAAAATAACATTACATTCTATACAGTGTTTTTTAACTAGGTAAATAGTTAAAAATTGCTTTTTCTTTCGAATGTTAACCTAATCGTTACTTTAATTAATTGTGGTGTGATAAAAACATTGAACATTTAAATATTCTTTTAAAGTGATTTTTATGAAATAATATTGTGAACGATGTGAAAATTAAAAATTTTGTTTTGGTAACAGAATTACTATTACCAACAATGTGCATTTTGCAATAGTAAAAAAACATCGATAAAGATCAATTTTGTTAATAAATATACACGAGAGTATATACATTTAGGCAGTTTCATAAAATCTTTCTGATGTACAACCATTACTTATTGATCGATTTTGATTCATCAAAAATAGAAAATTGTATAAAGCAATTGACAGAACATTGTTATATAAACAAGAAATAATTGTTTTTTCTTTTATTTGACCTTCTGTTATTTAGCGTAACTAAGTTGCTACAATTTTTTATTTATTGTTTGTGTTCCAAGCTAAGACAGTAGAACCCTGATTATCCGTGCTCCACGGAACTGGACGAATCATGGATAATCCAAATTAATATTTATTTCTTATATATGAACTTATTGTTACATAATATATCGTATGTGCAGTAGACAGTCTATAATCTGGAACTCCTGTAACCCAGCATTTTGATGGGCGTGGTTCATATTTTAGTTTGGTACTGTACTATAAAAATATTATGTCTAGAGATCATTTTTGAATATGTAATTTTTAATTCTAAAATACTTTTTATTAGATGTTCTGGTACAATCAAACACTTGTTTCGCACATTGTAATGTTTTTATGGTTGAATTTCCAGTAATCCGGTATCTCCACTAAGCCGCCAGTATCCCGTTCCTATATCTTCCCGATTATTGAGAGTCTACTGCATGCATTATAAAGTGTTACCAACACCCACAATTTTTAAACAAGAAAATTTGTACTTGAAATATTCAAACTGAAATGTTTACACTGATAAATTAACTTTGCAAAAAAAGCGGATCTTTTAGATAGCTATGCTTGCGAAAAAAGTGGGGGAGAGGGTCATTTTTGCCCCCAATTCAAAAGTTTTAATCTTCTGGCACATGCTGCATAAATTTAAAATTTCATTTGAATTAAGGGAATTCATGGCACGGATAATCCACTGCATCGCTAACTCGGGCATGGATAATTGGGGTTCTGCTTTCTAACTTTTTCTTTCTTCAAAAACAAACGTGGACTACGCATTTTTGAAAGTAGAAGAGAAACTTTAAAGACAAATTCAACACACTGCTAGATCGAATTTTGCTAATCCGTTTTACTGGATATGTAAATTAATTCAATTTAGAGTTTGTTAAAATGGAACCAAAGTAATGATGATACAAGAATATACCTTTCTTATGAATCCACCTGACAAAACAAACGATTGCCAAAAAGAGTAGGAAGAAAAAAAATTTTAAATTTGACATTGAATTTACATTGCTTATACTAAATTTAGTAAAAATCGCTTTCCCGATCAAGATTTACAAAGGACAGTCATTACATTGTCAATATCTGCTAAAAAATACAAAAAATATTTTGTAATATGTTGTATTGTGACGTTGCAGTAAGTGCTGTACCGAGTACAGATTTTCATACATCTGAGAGATTACAGAGTAGTAAAATTAAATTAAAATGGTTTGATTGGAGGACACACACACAACTACAGACAAAAAAAATGTAAAAATACACAACACAGTAGAAAATAATGTTTCGAAATACTGCAAGTCCCAAATTTATTTTTTTACTCTTACAATTAAAACTTTCATTCCAACACCAAGATAGGAATTGCAGTCACACCGTAACGCATTAAAAGAAATGCCAAATGCATTCGTGTACAAACGCTCATATAAAATTCATCACAAAGGGATGTTAATCACTGTTACATTGTCATGAACGGACATTACTGTTAGGTATGTTATACATTTTATTTTCTATACAAAATTGATCCTAATGGCCATCATATGCGAAAAGCCATTTTTTTTCGCAATTTAGTTTGATATTAAGAAGCTTGCCAATTTACATGACTTAATGCATTTTATAACTCAATAGGAACTTTTACATGATAAAATTCTATCAAATTTGCAACTTAAAACTGGCGCACGTAAAATACGGAAGACATGCATTTAGTCAAGCATCAGGTACTTATTGACCTATACACATAGTTCCAAGTGATTCTTACAAAACTACAGTAAATTGCACTGGAAAAATAGTTTACAAGAACAAATACAGTTTCCGCTGTGTAATAGGTCAAAATGTTAAAAGTGTGTCACCATTGTTCTACAATAGTTGGTCAATCATTTTCACAAGTTTCGCACAAAGAGTTCTTTAATTAAGGTACGTACATACGAAAGTCGAATTTTAAATATAAATTAAAATTGATTCACTATGGAAATTTACAATTACTTTTGAACACACTCCATTAAAAAATATACATTTAATGTAATAAACATAATCTTCATCCACAACAAATTTTCATTTCAGAAGCTTTTTATTTGTACAATACATGTATTAAATAAATATCGCCTAACACAGATCTTGAGAATGAAATAAATAATATTATCGTAACAACTTTTAACAAAGGATGGCTGGAACATTTGCACAAAATATGAGATAAGGTATATAAGAATGAAAAAATCGATACCCTAACATAAAAATAAATTACTACTCATTTAACTACATAAATAAAAATCGTATCCCATATTTTTTATAGCAATAATTGCGTCGTAAGTAAGCTGCACATTTAAAATGAAAATAAAGTATATAAATGATTTAGTATAAAACTCAAAAGTCAATGATGGTAGCATAGTGGCCAGCACCACGCCCAATTCTAAATTTTTAAAAATTTTGAATACTCCATCTTATACCAAAAAGTCAAATCATTAGCTTTTTACAATTTTATACCAGTAAGTGGCGCCTTTAAGAAAAAATGTGCTACTATGTATATAGTTCACCAAGTAGTAACAAAGGCAAGCTTCAAATGTGTGATATATGCACCGCTAATTTAACGTAACTGTGTTCACAAATTTAGAAGACAACCAACAGATATTGTGATTTTTTTAATCTACTAGACAACTGAGCTGCTTCACTGGAAAACATTCACTCTGTAGAGGTACCTATGGTAGGTGGTTCAAAAATGAACCGTATAAGAATTGCACTCTATTTGTGCAATGAGTCCGTTTAGTCTGTAATTAGCACTCCACTTCTAAGTTCGCTGTTACTTAATTATACTACAACAGTTGGATACAAAGTCACTTTTGTTTATCCATTCTTAACAATTTTTGCACTAAAGTAAATTGATAAACGGTTCTTCTTTATATAATAAAATTACAAAATGAACAACGCAACATCGTCTTATTGATTTACACTGTCGCACTTGTAACAGCAAATACTGACTGAGAGATTCGAATTAAAACTGAACTATCATCACTGACTCACTGCAGGAGATTTTTTATCAGAGTCTTGACTAGAGGGAGGATTGCCCTGCGAGGGGCCAACCCCGGGTCCTCTATCACTCACACTACCACTGCCCCACGAGTTAGCACCCGGCATTGGAGATTCCGATCCATGAAACCCATGGTTTTCATGATCTAACGAGTTTGCGGCGTCGTACTGTGTATTTTCTAAACGAGTAATTAGCCGCTCGTCCTCGTCACCAAACTCCCCTCCCATCAATGATGGTTCGCCGACGACCATGACATCCTAAATCAAATAAGACAAATTAGATTGCATTTCTCATAGTAGGTACATATATTTAGAAATTCTTTAACAAAAACTGAGTTATATCTGCGCTAGCTATTTATTAGTGACAGCTGGTTAGTACAGACTGGGTATATCCACCCTGAGTTAAATTCACTAGTATGCCCAGGCTTTTTATTTATCAAAGTGTAAAACGAGTGAAGTAATAGATGTTTTGTACAGTCACAAACAAAATTAATTCCACTCTAATATCCCAACTGTATTGGGATAACTATGCTTCATTTGCTTAACAATGAAATGTAATCTGCGATTGAATATCAGTGAAATTAATTGTTGTTGTACAACACCCATCAACTCTTTATCAAAAATTGCAGAAGACATGGATAAATGGCAACACTGGCAGGCGGTGTTAGGACCCTTATTCAAGAAAATTTTTTATCCAGATATCCTACATCAAAATAAAACAAATAAACAGTAAAATGGTTTTCATCCCAATGAATGTTCAGAATCTTCACCTTTAACTGCAAGGCAGTGGGATAACGTATCACAAAAAACTTGAAATAAAAATTAATTTCTTCTACACTGGTGCTGTACCGTCCGAATAGCAACCGGCAGTTCGTCTTTCGTTCGTCGAGTTTGGTGTTACGTCATTGAAAAGAGAAAAAAATTTCTATCAAATGAGCCTAATAAAAGTGTGCTTTGCGATTTAAAAAAATTCAATTGTTTTTTGTTATTGTTATTCATTTGTTTTCTGAAATAAAAACAATGGAATGCTATCTGATTATCGAAAATAAAATATTAAACAACTTTCATATAGACAAATGTTGTATACAGTCGATATTTAGCTAGATATACGCATTCCATACATAATGGGCACCCTGTATATGCGCAGGGTATATTAGTTACAAAAAGAATTATACCTGTGAAGCTAGTGAAAAGTTGGGTCCAGGCGATCTTTTCTTATTAGGAACCGGCGGCGCGTTGTTTGGCGCTCCTCCTGAATTTGAACCTTTGCGTTTCCGTCTCTTATTTGCTGGTCGTTGAGATTCTAAACAGAGAAAAGGATTTAAATGACAATATTGGCTTCCCAATTTCGCAAACCTTGTTGTGAAATTCGGGAAAAAATGCGTAAATTTAACCAAAAAACCTCAAAGTCCCAAAAAGCGTGATAGTTGTGTTACATACTTATGTAGGAAAAGAAGCACAAATAGAAAATTCTTCCGTAATTGAGAAGGTGAGCTATACAAGAATTTATTAATATTTGCCGAGCGCCAATTATTTCTAAAATGCTCTAATAAATTTGATGGTTAAGCAAATATGAATAAATTCCTTAGTGCATTAAAATTGGTACCTCTCTTACCCGGCGGGGCAACCATCCTCTGCCACTTTTGAAATAGCGTGGTCTTCAAACAATCCCTAGGGCTTAAAGCGTAAGCTTTATGCCTCGACATCAGCTCTTGCATTGGTTCCAATATCACACACAGCTGTAATAGTTCATACTGTTAAACAAGAGGTATCGACGATTAAACACTTCTTATTAACATACCCTTAAGTAGTTGAGAGTTGAATTTGTAATTCCTTGTCTAGTGATGTTTTTCGATAATTGATCTAACATACTAGGATCCTGCTGTGAATGCATCCCTACCACAGATCTAGGTATTAATTCTCGATGAGTCCTCACAGTAAAATGCCACGACTTTATCCTCATCAAATCGTCAAAGGTAAATTCTAATATTAACCGGCCCTCTGTACACACCTTTAAAACAAAAGATGTTAGCTTGTTAACATTTATTTGCAAGTTGCATAGTACCTTAGTAAATAATGGCTTGCCATGGTGCGTAACCATAGTGCATTGATCACAGTCTAGCGTAATACTCGTGTTATGGAAAGACTCCTTTGGATGTCTCATATTATAGTACAATTCTGTTACACCTCCTTCAAATATACTTCTAAAATACCTTGGTATTAACGTCCTTCCTATCGCTGCAAAATAAATTTATATTAAACATTTTAAATTAATTTACTTATTCGAAACACAACATTCTAACATGCCAATGAAGACAATGTTTCACTTTATACTGTTTGGTACATTCATTTCTATATAGCTAAAAATAGATCACTTAACTATCAACTATTATGGCACTTGGTTGCTACCAAATCCATTAATCATCGGCAAGACTGTCAAAATATCGAAAATCATTACAATAGTCCACAAAATAAATGCTCAAAAAAGGATGTAGAATGCAATGGACAGAGCTAAAAGTTTTTACTTCTCAGTTCTCAGCTGTAGTTAATGACCAGAAAAAATTATTCAATGTAGGCCAAAAAATAAGGAAGGCTTTTTTGACATCTCCGTTAGTTATAAACCAAATTTCATGACATTTTGTATGTAGGCACCTCGAATAAAAGTAAAACAAATGCCGAAGCAAAAAATTGGTTCTGCGCATGCTCAATCCGTTAAATTTGTTAAGATATTTAAATGAATTTTGAATATAGGCACCTCAACATGGTATAATAAAAACACCTCAAGTAAAAGTAAAACTAATGCCGAATCAAAAAATTATTTCGCGCATGCGCAATCCGATTTTTTTAATTGTTAAGATCTTTAAATGATATTTTGTATGTAGAACATTTGGAATCAAAGTAGTTGTAGTGTTCGCATATTCAAATAATGTCTTTATCCAAGAACAAGTTCAGGCAGGACGCGGGTCTCCATAAAAAAACTTGACGCTAACCAAGATGCCGCGAACCTAATGGGACGTTCTGTTCTGAAGAGGTATGTAATGAGAGAGATCGGCTCCCAGGCTTCTTCAGCAAAATGTATTTTAGTTAATTGTAGAGAAAAAAATGCTAATTTATACATATCATTACCCTTTATTTCTTCTAGTCCCGAAAAAGATTACATTTTTTGTAAAAGGAAAGTTAATGGTATTATTATCATGTCAAAACTCTTGTTTGAAAATGTTAATTTTTTATTTTTTTTAGATAGAAACCCGCTCTTTTTGCATTAATATATTCTACTCAGAAAAAGTTTATAATTGCATTCCTACATCTAGAACGAACCCTATTCATAAAACGTGAAAGAAAAAAATGTGTACAGCTTTTGCTGTTCTAGTGAGATTTAATTTAAAGAAACAAATTCTATTATGTCAAAAAACAAAAAATTATTAGATGAATTTAAGTATATTAAAAAATATTGTAAATTAAACAAAAATCCACAAGAGGGTGTTGTAAGCGCAAATCATCCACGCGGTTTAGTAGATTTTGGGAAACCCAGTATCATTGAAAGAGTCTATTGGCTGGTATGTACAATCTGAAGTTGCTAGATGGTCTATAATGTCTATATTAATGTCGTATAGAGACAGACTGACAGAAACATGAAGGCGAACTCACACCATCACGGGTTGCCTCAAAAGCTGTTGAGCAAGGATCTAATACTGTTTTAGTAACCAATAATCACATCGATGTGTCTAGCCATATCTTGAGAAATTAAAATTCCTATTCAAAAGCAAAAGTAGAAACACAAATTTTGAAAATCTACTATTCCAATAGATACACATACTTCGTGCACACTACGTTCGCAGGGATGGGACGAAAATCAATCATATGAAGTGATCAACAGCCTGTCCGCCATGTTTCTCTTGCAAATGTAGGATCCATGCTTCTGTTTGACATGAGCGAGTAGAGCAACCACATCCTGTTATATAAATATCCAGAGGTCTTTATTTAGATTATCTGTATAGAAGAGAAAACTAAGCGCGTTCTTGGGTCGGGGTAAATCTTGAAAAGGCCCATGCGTAATGAAATTCTCAAGCATGCTTTATTTTACATTGGCTAAATTCTAGATATTTGGATACCTAGTAGTTTTTAATAACATGGTTCACATGATGTAGTGGGGTGTCTACTCGAAAAAAACACCGAGTATATGAATAAAATTTTGCAAAAAACTTTAGTGTATATCGCCAGTAGATACGTCTTGTCCACACGACTCATTGTAACTTTGTGAGTACTCTCCTTCGACACACAGTTTTCGAGATATTCGCTTTTTTGACATCATATTTTGTCTAGAAGCTCCAATTGCCTTTTGTTAGTACCTTCCTCCCACACTTCGCCTTGGAGATATGAGGAATTATAACGGATCACGATAAGGAGGACTGTGGTTGGTATAAATTCTTTTCTTTAGTTGAGATCTTTCATTGAAGTACCATGAATGAAAAAACCAGTCCCCCCCTGCAAACTCCCGATTTCCATAAGGGGTAAGGTAGAGTGGCCATAGTTGGTAGAAAACAGTTCCTATCGTTGATACTCTTAATTAGAATATCATGAAAGATAAAGCCAATTTTTAACGCCCCTCTCTTCACCCATCTTGAAAAGAAGTCGCGAAGGAAACCTATAAGTAGTTTCTATAAAACAAATTCCTTTTGACAAGACCTTTCCCATTTTCAAAAATTTTTTTTGGCACCACTACTACACCTTTTTAAAGTGTATTTCAGAAATCTTTCAAATTAGTCAATTTAATTTCAGAAAACATTAATTGTAATTTAGATTAGGCAATTGGATTTCAGAAAATGTTAGTTGTAAGTCAGAAACCATCACATGTAATTCAGATCTGAAGATTCTTAATTACAATTGAAAAATTGTCAATTACAAACTACACTCTGAATAACAATTTACACTATCCGACATACACTAATCACTAATATGAATTACAATGTACACTTTCTGAAATTACATAGACTAATCCGAATTACATGTGATAATTTCTAAAATTCAATTTACTATTCTGAATTAGGTACATTTAATTCCTTTCTGAAATCCAATTAACTAATCTGAATTACAATATTAATGTCTTCTGAAATACATTTGAAAAAGGTGTAGAGGCATGCGTATGCAATATCCGAGACAAATTGGTTGTCGCATGTAAAAGTTATCTTGGGAAATTGAGACAACAAAAGTTAAAGACCATCTGGAACACCTTGAAGGTGGCTTCCTATTGCAACAAATTTCAGGGCTGTAGAATAATTCACCAAAGTAGTTCAAAACCGCAGAAGTGGGCCCGGACGGGCGGACGGACAGACCAACAAAACCCAAACAATATCACATTTAATTTTTTAAAAATGCCCTAGTAGTCTAAGAGCTGGCTACGGAAAAAAGTGATTTATCGCTACATGGCTGATTTTTGTGTAAAGCATTCTGATACATAGTGAAGTAGAAAAAGTCATGTCTGCCAGCGAGATCTCGTGGCTTAATGTTGGGAGGGGCGGTCAAGTAGGTCAAATTTTCATAAAACTGCGGATCTTCCGACTATATTTACCCGAGTATTTACCTCTGTAGCGATAAGTCACTTTTTTCCGTAGCCAGCTAATGTGTCAGTTAGAAATGCAGATTGCAAACTATTTAAATACTCAAGTTTTAAATTATTTCATGACGCACAGAACGCAGAATAATGCAATGTTTTGATGGACAAGAATCAATATATTGAGTACTGAAGTGCATAGCATAAAGCCCCGTCAATAGGCCCTGTATGGTCAAGGTGTGAAACAAGATCGTAGTCGGTACAATGAAAAAAGGAATCGGAAAGCCTCAGTTTGGTCTATTACACTTCCGCTAGTGGAGTCTTATGGTGTTTGCTCAAGAAAATCACGATCGCGAGCATTTATTTCAAGATGTAGAAAAAAGTTCGAGACGGAATATGTCTGCAATACCTTTGAATGCTTATAACACGTAAACGGTTCATGGTACGTACATCATTGCGCAAAAAGTTTTTTGTTCTGGTAATTTTTATTACGTTTATGAAAAAATACGTGTGAACTGCAGACGCCGGCGAACTCATCGCGAATCGTGCATTAAAAAGCTACTGTTGAAAACATACACATATTTAAATATTGTTAAAAAACCGTTAAAGGGAAACATACAGGGTGGAACCAGTTTGTGCACCATATGGACTTCAATGGTAATTTCTTAATATAGAAATATTTCTCCCCGAATTAATTTAGAGCAAAGCTGTCAATAGGTTTCCTGTAGCTTGAAAAATTCTACGTCTGCTCATGTCCACATTTATTATTTTTCAATCGGGAAACCGGAAAAAATAAATAGATGAGAATTTATTATTCGCGTAAAAATCGAATTTTTGTTTGAATAATTAGTAATTACAAATGAGCAAATGGATAAACGTAGTATTATACAATCTACAAAAAATGTATTTACAACATTGCTGTAAAATAATTAGGGAAATATTTCAACGTAAAGAAATAATAATAATAATAATAATATTAATAATAATAATAATGACATTTATTGAGCACACACCATACAAAGAACAGATATTATACATTACATTACATAATGGGTGACTCAATAGGGCGAAGTTCAGACTGGAATAAACCGTGTTATTCCGTCTGCTCTACCACTCAACCCCCTACATATGAAATTAACAACAAGAGACCAAGACATAAAAAAAAACCTAGCAAAAAAAAACTATATGATAATAAAAACTATTCAGTATGAAGCCACAAATGAAAACCTAAAAAAAAAATGTAAAAAAAAAAATTATAGCAATAATGATGTTAACGAAGGAACTTAATGCTGTCTTGCAAGGAGTATGAGGCGCAAGCGTTTTTTAAAAAGACTTTCGGATAAATGTTTTAAATGAGATGGTAATTCATTATACGTCTTTGCAATATTGTAACTGAAGGAGCGTTTAAATAGTGACGTTTTGTGAGTAGGTATAGTTATAAAAAACCGATCTCTAACATTGACATTATGGACGTCAGCTCTGTATGTTACCTTTTCAAATAAATATGACGGAGTTTTGGTTTGAAGTATGCCATGGAACAAACAGGCAGAATGTAATATTCTTCTGTTGTTCATATCAAGCCACTGGAGGGATTTTAATTTATGTGTAATCCGATCGTATTTTCGGATACCAAATATTAGTCTAAGGCAAGAATTCTGCATTCTCTGAATTCGATTGTAGTCTCTTTTGTCGATACATGGGCCATACACACTATCACAATAGTTAAATTGGGAAAGCACTAAGGATTCACAAAGCATAACCTTAATACTACGATTAATAAGAAATCGGCTATTAAATATTAGTTTAATATTTGTAAACGCTTTATTAATTATTTGAGATATACAGGGTGATTCCTATAGTAGCTGCCACCGTTTGGGAGCGTGTAGGTGGTGCGTAGGGGAGTATTTTGATATAGGACACTTGGGGTCGGAAATCTAAAATAAGGGTGCCAGAGCCAAATTTACCTTCTGGAATTTCGGGCCTGTAGGTAGGCAACCCAACCGGCCGGCGGTGCACACGGAGCGATCTCAGGCGGCGATGTGTGGCTGACACTTGATCAGAATTTTGTTTAAACCCACAAAATCCCGTCTGCAACGACGCGTATCAAGTGAATAAACACTATGGCAATAGTATAATAATAGTTGGCTAGATGTAGGAAGTGCATTGAGAACAACGGTGGCCACGTTGAACACTTGTAACCGTTATTGCTTTTGACTGTCGTTTTCCCTCCTTCCCTCCCATGTCGCTTCCTCGCGCTAACTCGCTCTGCATCGCTCCGCGCGAAACGTCGGTCGGTTGGGTTGCCTACATACAGGCGTGAAATTCCAGAAGATAAATTTGGTTCTGGCGCCCTTATTTTAGATTTCCGACCCCAAGTGTCCTATATCAAAATACTCCCCTAGGCACCCCCTATACGCTCCCAAACGGTGGCAGGTACTATAGGAATCACCCTGTATGCTTTTTGAAACGTAATTGGGAGTCAAAAATCAATCCAAGATTTCCAGGGATTTCAATGGTAATTTCTTTATAGTCAATTACTAGCTCCCCTAATTATTTTAGAGCAAAAGTCTAAATACGTTTTTTTAGAGAAAAAAAATACTGCATCTGTTCATACTTTTAGTTATAATTTCCCATTTTTCAAAACTGTAGAAATCGACAAAATACATTTTTATAAATCAGTGATGCTTTGGAACATTTTAACAAACTACAAGCGCATCGAATCTAAGTTATCGTTATTTGACGTCGAACGATTTTCATATTTAATTCTGTTTCAACTAACCGAGGAAATAAAAGGCATCTTAGGGTAATGTTTTTTAGAGAATGTGTGCTGCATCAAAAAACTGATTTGAAGAAGATTTGTTCCTAAACTTATATTCGTATTTTCCGCTACTGCAGCCAAAACGTTGAATGTATTGTCGTTTTCCTGATCTTTTGACGGACATTTTGAACGTTATTGCACTTGCAGTTCTTTAACTAATTTATAAACAAGTATAAATTTCATAAACGTCAAAGGCAAATAATGAAACGTGATCGCTGTTTTTTTAGATAATTCCAAGGCATATTTGATTTTTTGTAAAATGAACCTTTTCATTTTGTCGATTTCCACGGTTTTGAAAAACGGAAAATTATAACTAAAAGTATGAAAAGATGCGGAATTTTTTTCTCTAAAAAAAAAACGTATTTAGACTTTTGCTCTAAAATAATTAGGGGAGCTAGTAATTGACTATAAAGAAATTACCATTGAAATCCCTATGCTGCGTCGCGCTAGGCACCACCCGGTATATCATATCATATTAATATATCAACTTCGGGAATGACTTTCAGCTATCAGACTAAACGATGCAGTACGAAACTATAATACTGAAAACCCGAAGGCCGTTGCTGAGATCTCGACCGATTTATACAAACCTTAAAAAGCGCTCGAACGACCGACAGTTAGTAAAACAATAAACTCCTTTTTGAGAATCAAAAAATGCGTTCAAAAGATATTCGTATACTTAGTTCATAAATAAGTGTCCCATTTTTGCGACGCCTGTAGTTATCAGCTGTTTAGATTCAGATCCTACTGCGCATGTGCGGTGTTTTACTACGGTGCAAAATATACCTCTGTCTTTGTTAGGTATGTTGGCTGCTTATTGAAAATAAATGGAACGCTATATGTATGTAGGTATATAATATGATCTAACGATTTTTCTATTTAATTTTTTAATGGGGTAGTATGCATGAATATACCAAAAAGTATGTGCTTTGAGAACTTTGCTTTCATGAGGTTTGATGAAACGGACGAAGTTTCTACTGTCAAAAACAGCAAGTAAACATGAGAGTGGAGGTTTAGATACTCACTATATCTTTTAGGTCCATCTTCTAAACAGAACGCAAGCGTTAAAGATGCATCATCTTCAAAAAATTCTGTTGCAAATGCATCCCACCAAAGGTTATCACTTTCCTAAAAAAAAATCAATACTAAGAAAAGTGCACCAAAAATAGAAATTTGACGATATTGAAATAACAAAACATAAAAACGACATACCTCCGTCCTTTGCTGCAGTCTCTTGTTCAGTTCATACACGCGGTAGTCAGGTTGTCCAAAATACGGTGTGTGCCGCCTGGGAACAGGTAGAGATCTAGGGTAAGAAATTAGTACGAATAGCATTAACATTGACACGACACGTACAATAAGCATAGATGCATATTTACAGAGTGCAAAAGAAGATATCAATCATGCTTTTTAGATTTAGATATGTACAATAAAAAGACACATCTCCACTGAACTTGATACAATAATTGAAAGCACAGAGAGCGTGAGCGCTCTAAAAATCTAACTAGCACTCTATGTATAGGAAGCAAAAACCCATTTCTAATTGAAATATCACGTGAAATTTAAGCGCTCTAGCTCAAAATATGTTATCAACATTTATTTACAATTACTTTCTCACTCAGTCCGTCTAACACGGTTAACTCCGCCAATCGAAATTGTTAATGAAATTTGGTAAATAAAACGCAATAGAGAATTATTTTGATGTAGGTACCACATTTTTCCCATTTACACATAATTATCAATTTCCTCGGTTCATGATAAAGCTGTACGTATATGGTTCCTATTCTCGGAAATACACAAACCGCAATTCAATACTGATAGTAGATACACTAATGAATGTCCAGCCATTTACGTTGTAATACAATCAGGGGCGCCGACTACGTGGGTGCTTCGGAGCTTAAGCACCCACAGAAAAAGTTATGTGGGTTGGGTGCGATGCACCCACAGAATTTTCCGGATGATATTTGTCTATTTAGGTCTTTTTTCTCGATGGTTACTAAACACGAAGAAATTTAGATATATTTTTTTACTTTACTCACACGAAATAGCAGGAAAGATTTCTATAAATATTTTCCGTACGGCGTACAGACTACAGTAGTTGTTGAATTTGAATGTGACTACATTTGTAGAATCTGTACAGATCGTACAGCATGTTTATGATATCGAATTATCGAAATGAAATTACATCCGTCATCCGTTACATACATCGTCGATCGCCATCGTTAATTCTTATGAAAAATGAAATAATAGGTACCTATGTATTCGGTACATGAAGTTTTCAAAGCCGCAGTCCCAGGCCAGGTCCCAGTCCGGGGCTCCCAACGTGGGCGATTTATCGCAAAATGGGCGATACAACATTCATAATTGCTCCTATTTTTTCACATTTACGATATATCGCAAATTGGGCGATTTTGAAAACGCTTATGCGACTTCTTAAATTTAATTCCTTAGTTTATTTTTAATGACAAAGATTAACAGTACCTACCTACCTATAACTACACACATTTAATAATTGTCATGTGTAGGTATAGTACCACCATTGAATAATAAATCAGATTTATTATTCAATGGTACCACCTAAAACAGAGGATATGAAAACTGAGAAGCTGTTGCAAATTAAAATTAACGGTATCAAATGCTTGACGCATCAACGAAGGTGTCGCATGCATATGCAGATTATTTTTTGCTTACGCTTACCTAACCTTTAATATAATTAAAATTAAAGTTATTTAAAGACTTTTATTCTCATAATCTACAGTTATGCCTTATGCAATAAAAATAAAGTTTTTTTATATAAATCGAAAATAAAAACTTAAAAATCTACTCGGTACTTGGTCAATACAATTTCTTTCATACACTAAAAAAGACTACACCTACGATAGACGGTTATATCTATCTGTGGACATAATATGTGAGGCTTCTGGCTTGGTGAGCACCCACATAAATTTTGATAAGTCGGCGCCCCTGAATACAATGCGTAATGTATGAGGCCAAACCAGACCGATGTTGGTGTTGTGTCTACCACACATTAATAAGACACTTAAACAAAGGCAAAAATAAATAAATAATAAAATAATATTAAGAACTCGCGTTACAAAATTAATTCCCCTTCAACTCGTATAGAACTCGCGAAATTGATGGCAACGCAAAGAGAAATTTTGAGATTGTGGAGATACAGTGGTGGGCCAATAGGATGTGGACCGATCCTTATGAGTTTATTAACATACATTTATAAAAGTTCGCCGCTTGATCGGGACCCATACACAGGGTAATTCATACCAAAGTTACATTTTTTTAAATGAATCCCACTGTATATTATTGCATACTTAGATTCCTCTCGTAATTCTGTGTCTCACTTGCTATTTGAAACCCCAACGGTTTAGCCGCAATCGATATTTTTTAAAAACATTGAATATCGCGGTAATTGTCAAACATACTACGCGGTGATTTTGTGGAACGCGGGTGTTTCGAAGAACTTCATATTGGAGAAGTGGGGACGTTTGGCACGTTTTATTAAAGAAGGAGTGTATTTGATGGTGGGAAGTGGTGCTTTTTTAAACACTGGGGGCAAGAGAAAACGGGGAGGCCGCTGCTGCTGTTAGTTTTTCGCGGCGATACAAGAACGTGTGCATTTTTTTACGCTAAGTTACGGACAGTCGGCCCCACATGTTTAGTTGACGACGCAGTTGGTCATTTAATAAAAAATTGTGCAGAAACAAGTTCACCAAAGTTGTGTGAAAAATTTAACGCATGTTCCGATTACGGAAAAAGTTTTGTCGAGTTGAAAAAGGAAAGCAGTGTAGTACAGCGAGGCCTTTTGTTCAGGTTCTCTCCAATTAAAAGTTGGAAGATTCTACCGTCCGAACAGCCACCGAAAATTTGGTCATCAATTAATGAAACCTGTTTTGTTTGTCATGTGTGTTATAAAGCAAAGTGAAGTTCAAACTTCCAAAGCTGTCAGCGTTCGTGCATAAGTGAGATGCTTGTACGACTAGATTGTTTGGATTATTACGAAAAAACTGTCACTTTAAGATCTTTTATTTTATTTGTCGACCGCCTGCGTGAGGGGTAATATGTCCAAACAAGCTTTGTAAGGTTTTCTTTCTTGCAGCGATTTTGTTTTAATATATTTTTCATAGTGTTTTGGAATAAATGTTTGTCATTGTCAATCAATTAATTGTGTGTTTATTCGAATCCATTGTGAGACCCGAATAAAGCTTTCATGTCAGACATTTTTCTATTAGTGCCGAGATTTATTTGAGGCGAGTTTCGGAGGTTGATCTAGGCCACCAAGTCTCTCTAATTGAGAAATTTTAATTCGATATTAGGATTTTTCTTATAGCAAATGCCGGATGTGTACGAGGAGAGATTATAAAATTCTAAGTTTCAAATTTAATTTGTTTTGAGGTAGCTGGGCATGTGTTCAGTGGCTGATGTAGTGATCGCATACCATTTGCACATAGCAATAGATAACTTGATTTTTTGAAATGCAATTCGCACTTTTTTCAAATCTTGTCAAACGCGAGATTTCTACAATGATATAAGGTTATCGATATCTATCTTTGGTAGTTCTTTTAATGCCGCATTTTTTTTTACTAATTTGGTGATTTTTATTTATCACTGACTAGTAGGCCGTGGAAAATAAACAATAAGCGATTCAAATTATTATAATTATTCACTCAAAATTATTACTTACACATACCAACTAGAACTTGAGAACGCAAATTAAAAAGAAAACATTATTATAATAAATCGTCAAAATTATGTTCCATGCACATTTGAACCCTTTCACAAAATGAATTCTTAACTCTGTATTCAAAAACATTTTCTGCGGGGGGGGGGGGGGCTAGCTAGACCTAGCTTAATTTCAAAGAGAAAATCATTCGCGCAAACAGAATTCAGGTACAAATCTCTAAGGGTTTGGCCTATGAGGGGCTTTTCTCTAATTTAAGTCCATTTTAACATAAATGGTGTTTCCATAAGAAAGTGTCCAATTTGGACTACCCTGTCCAAAGAGAAAAGCGACATCCAGAATTGTACAACTTACAGAGGAATAAAACTGGTACCACGCACTTTGGAAGTTTGGGCTAGGCCTCCTCAGATGCTCTCACAATAAACGTGTAAACATTAACAAATGTAGAAAACGAGCTGCTGGGTATGGCTATAGCATGTGCAAAACCAAATTTTTAACCTGGTGGTAGTTTTGCTTTTATTTAAAGTGATTTTTAATTGCTTCCATAAATAAGAAAGGTGGCACTGCACATCATGCACAAAACCAAATTTGGAAACTGCCGTTAAATTTGCTTTTATTCCAAGTGGCTATGTATCAAATATCATTTAAATACCATCATAATTACGGAAGTTCGATTCGGTTCGGTTTATAAATGGTCGAGATGCAAAGAGGGCACTGTGAATGCTGATCGATTAGGCTCAACTTTTGGAAATGCGTTAGATTTGGCCAAAGCTATGCGCATATTGAATTTCATGCAATTCGGTTCATAACTAACGGAGATGTCAAAAGGGCCTTCTTTATTTTTTGGCCTACATTGCCAATTCAATTTGATAAAGAATCTACCTGCAAAATTTCATCGTAATCGGCCCATTCGTTTACGAGATATCGTGCTAACAGACGGACGGACAGACAGACACGACACCGCAAAATTATAAACTCGCTAGGAACTCGTTAATAAACTTTGCAGTCCCGCCCGACCGTTCTTCCCGCCAACCAACAAAGTGTTCTACACGAGGTTCTACATCTGCAAGCAAGTATGCAAAAAACTGTTCGAATGAAATTTCTTCTATAATTTATTTTACCAGTACAATGCCAGGTTGAATGAAGTGTAAAACTCGGAAAACATCGAGCTCAAGCAGTTTATTGAGGCCCTGGGAAGCAACAGAAAATTTTTGTTCAGAATCGAACCGAGAATTGGATTCATTTCGGCCTCGGTTTTGGCTCATAGACTCAGTTCCAAATTTATTGAATATAGGTACTCGTTTGGGTGATTTTTGTAAGTTGTGAAGAAAACTTAAAACAAGATAGAACGCATTATCATAAATCTCGAAACGGGTGATCCAATCCAAAAATAAACACAACAGTTTTCGTACCAATCCTGGCTTTTTATTGGCCGGTCAAAATGTATAGCTTCAATTTTTGGTGTCTTCAAAAGATTATACTCATATAAATGCTTCAATAAATTTAATCTCAATTCATAAAATTTAAGTAGATGAAAGAAGAGAACATACGGAAGAACCGAATAAAATTTTGTTCACTGATAATTTGTGGTGATTGCGAATACCTCCGTGAACAAATCAAATTCGATCTGCTCGAGCATACTCAAAAACTTTCCGAACCAAATCGAATCTGGCAAGAAGGTATGATTCGAATTCATCCCTCAGCAAAAGGACAATTTCAATATTGATAGTCAAATAGATGTTTTATTAATCCAGTCCGTATCTATAATTATGTAATCTCAATTCAGCAATATTGTCGTTTGTACTCGTAGTTAGGATAGCGTCAAGTAGTATTTTTAAACTTACAGAGATAAGAATAAATAAATAAAGAGACCCAATAGATAGTTTATTGATTTCCTGTATCACACGTATGACTCACTAATGGGGAATTTAGATAAAAGCGCATAGTACAAATCCGTCTACATTCCAACTTTCCGCTTCTATTCCCCAATTATTTAGTTATGTGTACATTTGTTTAGATATTGTGAAAATGAACTTCGAAATGAACGCTTTTAATTAGCAATGCCAGGTGGTATAATTAAATCATGATCCCAATGACACAAAGTCTTGTGGTAAAGGAAAATGTGTAATAGAAATCTGTAGTCGACTAATCGATTAATCCAAAATTTGCAGATTGTTTCACTAGACTTGGGGGGTACGGAACCTTACGATTACGCCAAGCGTTGAGAAATGTGAGACATAAACATGCCAAAGGTCCGTCCTTTCACACGAGTAACCTGTATAAGATTACGTATACTCAGCGCCGGATCTACATATTTTGCGCCTTTGTGCCTCTCGAAATCGCCGCCCCCTGTCTTACCCAACCAATTAAATGCATTTTATACTCCAACCAAAATGCGTTGCATTTTTTACTCTTTACAAAAAAGTGTTAATACGATTTTCTTTCTCCTAAATTGCTCAGATTAAGTGATTTTCCAAAATAATAAAAGACATATTTTAAGTTTATTTTACACTTTAAACAATGAAATTCAATAGACACGTAAATTAAGCCCCCCCCCCCCAAGGTACGATTATGAAATTGATAAAAATGGCTAGAGGGCATCTTAATTACGCGTTTTCAACTAAAAAAATTGCGTCAGAAGCTCTAAATTTTTCTCACAATCTTAATACAAAGTTCATATAATTTCGTCGAAAATTTCAAAATTTGCCGCTAGGGGCCCGGACCCACATTGCCCCATGCTAAATCCGGCCCTGCGTATACTGTATAAAAGTACTGGGTCATTCACTATAATTAGACCCGCAGTCTAACCCATTTTCTATCAGGTTCTGCAAAAACAATAAAGTTTTTATCAAATTTGGTAGTATTATACAGGGTTTCTCAAAAGTAGTCCACAACCGCCAAATTTGAAATGGAAAGAAACCGTTTGCTAAGAAAATTAAATTGTGTTTAATGAAAGTTCCAAAATGCATGGCCAAGTGGTTATTAGTGAAGTTCGCGCTCGTATATGATAAATTTACCTGTTATTATGTAATATTACATTAATAAATTGCGTAATTAAATTTACGTTGCAATATAGATACTTATCGTTACGTCGACGGTTATCGACATTTCGATTAGTTAGCGACTTATCGATATATCTGGATATCGGTATACATACCGAAAACAATTCCCGCCCGAAAAATAAACAAGTATAAATTGTGCAGAACTCTTGGGTAGATAAAGCGCATTTTTTTTAACCGAAATAGCTTTTGTTTTGACATCACCAATGCATATATTTCTTGCAGACGTCTCAATCGCCCTTTGTGAGTACCCTCTTCCGACAATCCGTTCTTGAGGTAGGTACATGGTTTGGTAGAAATTAATTCCTTTCGTTAAGACCTTTCATTAGAGTACAATGAAGGATAAAACTAGTTCCACTTCACCCCCCCCCCTCCCCCCAGGATATTGCATAAAACTAATTTCCCATGTTAAATCCCTATGTTCCTACTTACCGTGCACCACCCGGTATAGTAAGAAATTTGGGTTTTTGGGACTACATCCAACGTATCATGCCTTTGCGAGTATAACCTCCTCAGACATTCCGTTTTGACTCCACGAATAGGTATCTCGTCCAGATGTCCACACTCCACTTTTGCACTTAGTTTTGACATTAGCAATGGATATGTGTCGTCCAGATAAAGTAACCTCCCTCGACATTGCGTTCTGGAGATATAACGAATTATAATCGATGTCGATAAACAATCGGGAAGCAGAGTGTTGGTAGAAGTTTAAACCCCCCTCCTCCCTCCCATTTCGACAAGGGGGCGTTGAAGAAGGTGGTAGCTGGTGGAAAACAGTTCGTTGTAACCTTTATTGAGTTGCACGTTTTACTTTCCGTGTTAAAACTTAGCGTACATATTTTTTGACAGAACGCCATTAATTTGCAGTTACCTATAATAGAAGTTGGTATACAGGGTGGCACAACGAAAACGAAACCGACTGAATAACTCGTAAGGAAATAGTTTTCGGAAAAAACACAAAACTGTCGATTTTGGTTGGAAGGGGGAATTATTTACTTAAAAAATTACACCCCTGGCGTCAACCTCCTCAGCAGGGTTGCCACCTCTTAAATAATTTAAATTGAACGTTGGATCGAGTGACACATCGTTGGAAAGGTGGCTTAATTTCCTATACGCTTAGGGTTTGGTTTTCAAATTTGAGCGAATGCTTTGAAGGATATAAGGTACGTGAATGGACACGTTCATAAGAAATATTAGCTACACAATCAATCCAGAAGCACATAAGCAATGAGAAACCAACATATAACACCTCCTAATAACCTTCCAAAATGTAGACTCATAAATCCTGCTAAAGCTATCCCTATTATGAGCAACTGATGAAGTATCTGATTTACATAGTTTGTTGTAGTTACCTATCTGAGCCCTAAAGTCAAGTGTATCTTCCAAAAGAGTCGCTCATATTTAACAAGTTAAAAAGTAATCGTAAACGATTTACATAAAGCGCATTTCCACTTGCATCCATTTGTAAGATGCAACTTCCATTAAAATCATAAAAATCCGGCCACAAATATGAAAGATAGCGTTGCACATGGGCAATCCATTTTTGACGTGCTACTTCAATTTCAGTTTATGAGAAGAATTTTATTTCAATGCTTTTCTAAATAAGAAAGTTGGAACTGCGCATGCGCAAACCTAAATTTTGAAACTAATGTTAGATTTTCCTTTGTTCCAAGCGCCTAAGTATCAAATTTCACTTAAATGCTTCCATAGATAAAAAAGTTGGCACTGCGCATGCGCAAAACCAAATTTTGAAACTGGCGCTAGATTTTCCTTTATTCCAAGTGCCTATGTATCAATTTCATTTAAATTCTTCCATAAATAAAAATGTTGGCACTGCGCATGCGCAAAACCAAATTTTGAAATTGGCGGTTGATTTTCCTTTATTTCAAGTGCCTATGTATCAAATTTCATTCAAATACTTTTATAAGTAAAAAAGTTTGCAATTCGGTTTATAAATGGTCGAGATGCGAAAAAGGCACTGTGAATTTTGAATCGATTCGATTCAACTTTTGGCATTGCGTATTATATGGCTAAATCTATGCCCATAATGAATTTCATGCAATTCAGTTCATAACTAACGGAGATGTAAAAGCGATCGAACATTTCTAAACAAAGTTATCGTTCACACGGACAGATAGATGGACAGATAGACAAAGGAACTGAAGGACAGACCAACAGGCAGACGACAGATAGCAATGCAAAATTATAAACGATCTCTAGGATCGTTAATAAACGGCAAAAGTGTAAAATTATGGAACATGTAAAAACGGTTTTTTGTTTTTTTTACAATAACTTTTTTTGTAAGCGGTACAGAAAAAATTCCTTCCTTGGTACAAGACTCGACACCATAACGAAACAAATAGCGAAAAAAGTAGAACAATAGCTCTTAAGATAAAGAACTAGTAGCGTCGCAAAACGAGCGGACGGACGGACGGACGGACTGACGGACAAAGTGGCCACAATAGCGCATTTTTTTTAATTTTTGTGGAAATGCGCTAAAAAACACAGATTAAATTCACTCTCTGTAATGTACATAGAGTCGGAAATAATGCAGTCTATTGACTATGACGACGTTATCCGCTCTTTCGCAGAGAAGAAAGTTCGCCGTATGATTGTATAGATTTTAAGGACCTAGCTATGATGATTATTGGAGTAATTAAATTCTTTTTTAAAATATACATTTTGTACTGTGCCTTTAATTCCCTGAATTTCTAAAATGACTGCGGGATAAGGGCCAGGGGGCCCCCAAATTTCAAGTGCCTAGGGGTCCTGGGTCTTTCAGTCCGGCACTGGACGTAACAGGATTGCCGACACGGCGTGCCAGTCGGACGCGCTGGCGGCTGGCGCTGAGACACAACAAAACTTAAGTTTAAATAAACCCCTAGAGCGGTTCTAAACAAGTTGTAAATCAGCATATTATGCATGATGAAAGCGCATTTTTGGTAATGCAGATCAGTGTTTTATTAGCAAAGTTTAAAATTATCGATCTCACGAGTAATCTAACTCAAAATAGACTAGAGCCTGCACATCTGTACTACATCAGAAAGCTTTTAGTGAAAATATAAAGTCTCTAGCAATTGTAATTGCTGAGATCTCAGCCAAACAGTTTGAACCGAATCGGTCCAAGCCTTTGGCAGTTATCGTGTTCACCGACGGACAGATGGACACCATCGATCCTCCTATAAAGCTTACATCGCTTTGCTCTGCCGCTTAATAATTGTTTGTAATAAGGGTTTAACAAGTAAATGTGCCCGACAATATAGTCAATGGAAAATAGAGTTAAATAACGGATGATGAGGTCACCCTTTGCCGTTTGTCAGCAAAGTGTAGATTTCCCGAAAACATGAAACGTGTTTTTGCTAGTGCTTTTGGGCGTCCAGCGACCTGCTACCGCCGGCAACCCGAGCCTAGCATCGATTTTATAGGTGAAGAGGCCATAAGTTTTATTATCATGATATTTCAGAAACTGAGCCCCATAAATTAAATATCTACAATTAGAATTGTGGTGATGGAAGCGATGACGTACCGCGTCTCAAAATTTACCGCCGGGGGCTAATAGTCCCATAGCCCCCCCCCCCTCCCCTAAATCCGGCACTGAGCCTATGGGCCAACATTCTGCGAGAGTCAGGAGGCTGGTTTTTGGCCTATCGGATTGGGTACACCTCCAAGTCCTATATAGCAATACAGGTTTCATTATAGTAGAGGCCTATCTCACCAATTCAATAATTTACAATGAATTTTTTACTCTCTATTTACCTACTTCTTAATATTTTCATGTTTATCAACTGAAACGATACATACAAAAGTACTTATATAGGTACTAATTTCTATACAACAGTCTATAATTGTAAAACAACACTTAAGTGTGTTAATATAAATTCGGGAGTAGGTAGTTATGCCACCATTCATTTTATCATGACATTTAGGGAACAATTTCTGGAATAATATATACAAAACGACAACATTGATAACAAAAATTGATCTTTCCACCTCCCAATAGTTAGTATCTAAGGATATTGGGAGTTGGAAAGTTCCACAGTAAAACGTTTTTTCAATAAGTTATTCTTCGGAATATTCTTCTTGTACATAAGTTCGTTGTCTAGGTTGAACTCTAGAATTCGATTTAGCCGTATAATAACCATCGTTGGAATTTTGATTGGGTTGTGGACGTTCAGGTTGATTTTGTTCATAATTAAGTCCCGGTGCCGTTTTTGTACCAGCGTTATAATTATAATTTACTTTCAATCCCGTTGGATCAGTGTAAGTGAATCTACCGTGCACTTGTCCTCCTGGTTCCCCGACGGCTGCGTGCGCGATTCCATCTTCTGTACGATATAGAAAACCAAAGGTTCCATCGGTTTGCGGGAGATTACGGCTATCCTGTAGGATGGACGGGTTGACGTACGTTCCCGATTTTTGAGATGCAGCGAAAGTCAGTGACGCAACGACCTAAAACAAATCAAACTTTTACTGATACAGAATACAAAATAAAAAAAGTAAAAGTGCTCGAATTAATATTCAGATTTAAGTGCAAATAAAAATTCTACGCATACTAAGTAATTATACGAGTCGCAACTGAACTTAAAGAATGTATAATTGAATGCGAGATCGAATGCTTCATTGAATATAAAAATATAGGATAGGTTCTGTTACCGAACCCAGTAAAGTAATATTGCTCTTTTGAAATATGCAGAGAATGTAGTTGTTTCATGGACACTGTTTAAATACGTTTATCATGGACGAATAACTATAACTGCTTTTTTCTAACTGTAATTAATGTTTTAAGCTACCAACTGTGACCTGTCTCAATGTGAGTTGAATCTTGTTTCTACGGGCTGTCCGAAACAAGTAGTAGGGGACCTAGTACTCGGCAAATATTTTAAAGTGCAAACTGTATGTTGCTAAGTATCAGGAATAATTTATAATATCTTCTCCATTTTTAATTTCCTAATATCTTCCGCTCGAACTTACCTTCAAAGGTATTCGATTAAAGGGTAAATGGGCTTCTTTTGAATTGTATCTAAAAAGTTTCCAATAAAATCAAATCGACTCATGAAATTTAAGCAGAGTCGAGGAGCGTAGCTTAAAGTCGTTACAATGATTTTTCCGCACAGCTTATATGGTGCAAACTGCTGTTTATCAACTCGTCACGTTCATACATAAACAGCAATCAATGTACCCTAACAAACGATAGGTAATACTCCTTAATTGATGGAAGACTAACTTCACTGACATCCTTTCACACTTTCACAGTTTGATGCCATATACAACGGCATGTTTTGTCAAACTTGATTGTCTTCGATTTACCGCTGAGACTATATGACGTGTTCTCCAAATGTGTATAATATGGGACTGTATACATCCCAATCAACTCCCTTGTGAAGCGATTGTCGCGAATCCGTAGATACGTCATAGTAAATATTTCATTAAATTCATTTCATCAATTGTTTTATAAAAATGTAACAAAATTATGGTTTTGAATTATGGTTGTTAAAGTGCCATAGTTACGACAATATTGACAACATTTATCATGTGACAAGACAAGTGTTTTAATAGGACGGAAAAATGGTGTATTTGCGAACAATTTGCTTTTAAAAAAGAGAAGTGGAATTGGGTTCGCGATACCGCTTGTTTAGAAATGGTAATTTTGAAAAAAAAGGAAAGATTCGTTTTGAACTGGACGCTCCGTGACGCTCGAGCATGTTGTCATAGAAATTAATCGTTACAAAATTGGAAGTCGACCTACAGCGGTTTTAGCGCATTTTCCAGCTCATGTTGGATGGCGCTGTTATGGCCACTTTCTCCGTCCGTCCGTTCGAGGCCTTAACTACCCCTACAGTTGTCAACATACTTAGTTCGTTCTTTTGCATTCGGTAGCTAATAACTCTGGCACCTCAACCAAGAAAAATTTTGCCGATTAATATGCGCATGCGCAGTCTGCGCAATGTCAACTTTTTTATTTATGGAGATATTTCATTGAAATTTTTAACACAGATGCTTCTAGTAAAGGCAAATGTATGTCATATTGTAAAAATGAGACGTGCTCACTGCGCAATGTCAACTTTCTTATTTATAGAGATATTTTTTTGAAATTTTAACTAAAGATTCTTGTGGTAAAGGCTAACATATCACATCTTTCAGTTTCTTATTTATAAGAATATTTATGCTATAACTTATTTTCCTTTCGTTCACATAAATAGTCCGTTATATGACCTTTCGGGGAGTACTGACCAATTCATGGAAAATGCGGTAAAGTTGCTCGCATTAAGGTAAACAATTTTTTAATTTTTTTTTAAAATGAAGTACACTGAAGAACATCATCAGATCCATCCATTAACAAAATAGAACAAAAGGAAGTCCGCATTAACGTCAAGATCATAGTGTGAAAAGTAAATACTATTGCTTCTGGTATTTTGGCCGTATTTACGAACCCAGAATGTTGTCTTTTTTTAATATGAGCAAGTCGAGTGTGTAATTTGAAAACTGTTTGTGAAAATAAATGCAATTAAATTTTCACTTATAATTGCACAAGAGGTTTGTATTTTACCGAGTAAATTTGGGTTGTTTAGGTAATGAAAATCTGTTGCCTAGCAATTAGACGAGAAAAACTGTCAACTAATAAAAATGCGACACCGCAGGTGGAGCATTTTTAGGGTGACAGTTTTTCGAGTTCAATTGCTAAAAGGCAACAGATTTGAATTGCAACAACACAAATTTACTCGGTTTAAATACAAACCTCGAGTGTAATTCAGCAGGACAATTTAACGAACAAGAAATTCGCATAACTAATCAATTACTGACAGACGTCAAACTAGTCATATAGGAAAGGATAATGCGATAATTGGTTCGAAAATGAATAAGTGAAAAAACCACTAGTGCATTTGTCGCTGGAAAAGTTGCAGGTAACTTTTGCCGCTGTCAAAGTGACAATTTCACTGCGGCTTATGCGATTTTTTATACATGAGTTGAATTGTCTTCGTAAATATACATAAACAGCCATGCATTTCACGAGATTCGAGTCCAGAATACTGTATGACAAATATGAGAGTTTTACCGAGAGATTTCACGCTAAGGCTAAAAACACACTAGTCGGTTTTCACTGAGTCGGCCGCCGAATCGGCAGCCTCCTGTTATAACCAACTAGGCTTTAGACCAGTCCTGGGTCGAGCGTTCTAAAGCACCGCTTGATCGTCGAGCGCTCTAATTTTCTCAAAAATGCTCGCGAGCATAGAGTTGTTTTGCAAAGCGAGTTCCGAACACTCCTAAAACTTCTCGAGCGGTTTATCGCGAGCGCTTGGGAGCGGAAAAAACGCTCGCGAGCGGCGCTTAATCTTTCAGCGTTTGAGGGCGGTTAAAAGCGCTCACGAGCGAAAAAAAACGCTCAGGAGCGGAAAAAGCACTCGTGAGCGGAAAAAGAGCTCGCGAGCGAAAAAAAAAGTTCATGAGCGGAAAAACCGCCCGCGAGCAGAAAAAAACGGAGCACTTTAAGTAAACGCTCGAGTATCGAGCACCCAGCAGCTGCTCCGAAAATTGCTTGCGAGCGGATTCGCTCTCAAGCGCTTTTTCCGTTTGGTGCGCTTTTTCGAGCGAAACGCTCGCGAGCAGTATCTACCCAGCTCTGCTTTAGAAAACATAAAAATTGCAATGTTGTCACTAATTAGTATCAAAAATGGATTCATATGACTCAGAGGCGGAATTAATTTTGTATAATCATGTTTTTTTTCGTATTCCATTAAGTAGGTCGTTCATAAATTGCATGGCACAACAACAAATATACGCATTTAAAGCGTATTCAATAGTTTCGGAATAAATATAATGATTTTAATATTATTGCTAATTATATTTATTTATTTATTTATTTATTTATTTATTTATTTATTTATTTATTTATTTATTTATTTATTTATTTATTTATTTATTATTTATTTATTTATTTACTTATTTATTTATTTATTTATTTATTTATTTATTTATTTATTTATTTATTTATTTATTTATTTATTTATTTATTTATTTATTTATTTATTTATTTATTTATTAATTATTGTGCCTCTCATGTGTTGTAGGCTTGCGCCCCATTACAGAGTCACCCGCATAATGCTTTGTAAAGGTGCTCCTGCAGAAGGTCTTAAGTTGTTCTATACTACTCCGGTATTTACCTTACCTATTGGGAAAACTGCAGAAAACCTAATTCGGAATAGCCGGCAGAATGTTCGAAACTGATCTAAAGGAAAGTCCCATCTCTGCCTTAGATGAACAATTCTTACCTCAGCCCAGGTTCGAACACCCGACCTCCCGGCTATGTAGCCCAACGCTCTACCACTGAGCCACATAGTCGGTTTATAAGCGATATTTAATATTAAATAGAACGGTATGTAGCGCAAACTGCAAGTGCAAGGCCGCCGCCTTTTGATTATGATGACGAGGATTCGAACCCCCCGAGCGCGCTTTTTTTCTATAATATAATTTGCGGCAAAAAGAAAGGAGCCAAGGATTGTGAGAGAAAAGTGTAAATACCACTTACGCCGGTTTTACTAAAGCAGCTTTTATAGTACCTACTAGCGGTATACCAAAAGATACTGCATTTTCTTATACCAAGGTGCCACTTGGTACAGCTGTTCCTTAGAGCCATTTAGACGATTTGGCCCGAAGAACACTTGACATTTTCCGTGCGGGTAGATTTTAGAGGGGATGGGGGTGATTTATTGAAGACGTCGCACGCGGTGAAACCCAAGATATTCCAAAGTTTTAATATATAAACTTATATTATTTTATTGAATAAAAATACACATAAACAAAACATAAGATATATTAAAACATGGGGTAAAAAATGTATAAGCCGATGAAGAATCACCAAGTACATCGCTGACCCCCTCTGAGATTGCGTTATCACCATTGAAAAGGAATTTTACATATAGGTAAATATTAAAGGTTCGGCAGTAAATTATATCGAAAGTATACAATCTTACCCTTTGTTTGAGCAATCTCCCATACATTTTTGGCATGCAGGGGAACATGGTAATCCGTGTCGCCGCAGCAAGAGGTGGAGGAGCACATAAGGAGGGCGGCGTATGTCGCTGGCCATATCTGGGAATGTGCAAACCAGGTGATGAGAAGCTCCACAAGTCCAGAAGGATGGGGATGGACTCTTGAAGCCAAAGGCTGGAAGGTTCTGCAGTCCAAGCTGCCACAAGTATGAAAGGCAGTCCGTGCTCTGGACAGGTGTGGCTGCGGGACCCTTTTATACCGGGTGAATATTCCCAAAACGAACATAGGAAATTAACATGGGAAAAGGGGTTTTTGTAGATAGTTGCTCCCCATGTTAACTTAGAGGGATGATCATGACACCAATCGAAAGAAGATTTTCCTCGTCTAATGATATACGAATTAGTTCATTTTCAGGTGTATTTCTCACTGTATTATCAAAAACTCGAGAAATCGTCTTACCAAAATCATATCTTTAGCCATGACTAAGACAAAAAGCAGATTCAAACGTCGAAATCAATATCAGTTTATGACACCTGGCATTAATTTTTTTTGTAAAATGCGGTTCACTGAAAAAAAAGTATTTATAATAAACAACGTTTACAGGGGAAATATTTACTCTAGTACGCGGTATTTGTTTTCCGTGTATGTGAAAACCTCCTGGAAAACCTATTTCAATTCGTTAGGAAATTTCCATCGCTTAACATGATTTTGCTATTAATTGGATTTATTGCCGAATTTTTGATAAAATAATGAGAAATACACCTGAAAATAAGCTAATTCGTATATCATTAGATGAGAAAAAAATCTTCTTTTGATTGGTGCCATTACAAACCCTCTAAGTTAACATGGGGAGCAACGATCGGCAAAAAACGTTTTCCGCATGTTCATTTCCTACGTTCGGTTTTAAAATATTCACCCGGTATGTGAAATACATTTTCAGTGGTGATAACGCAATCTCAGATGAGGTCAGCGATGTACTTAGTGATCCTTCATAGGCTTATACATTTTTTACCCCATGTTTTAATATATTTTATGTTTTGTTAATGTGTATTTTTATTAAATAAAATATTACAAATTTATATAGGTATTAAAACTTTCGAATATCTTGGGTTTCACCGCGTGCGACGCCTCAAAAAGTGCAGTGGAAGTGGAAGCCTCTCATGCAGTTCCGATGACAGTAGGTTATATTTGTTATCATAAATGAATTCCCTGACCCCAAAAACATAAGTCTAGACACCTTACACGACCCGGTGTGCCTTAGAAATATAATTCGATCAAAAGTCTGTCATTTTCTAAAAATGGCGGCTTTTTACGGACTTCCGGTATCCGGATTACATTTCTGGCGCTACCATTGGATTCCTCGGGTTAAAATCATACGAAATCGACCCCCAGATCTCGTCTCTAGGCCATATTTAGTCTTTAAAAAAATGTTACAATAAATCACCCCCAACCCCTCTAAAATCTACCCACACGGAAAATGTCAAGTGTTCTTCGGGTCAAATCGTTTAAATTGCTCTAAGGAACAACTGCACCAAGTGGCACCTTGGTATAAAAAAATGCAGTATCTTTCTAGAATTTCCGTTATACCGCTAGTACTATTAGTGAAACTACTCTTGTTGAACAAAGGATGTACATTTTGAAAATGTCGTTCATTTTACTTATATTCGTAGTGTTTACATATAAAGTTTGATTTAAATAACTTCATAAATAAAAAAGTGAGCATTGCACATGCGTTTATCCAAATGTTTGACACTGCGCATGTGCAAAACCAAAAAAAGTATCGGTATGCACGGAATCGTTGGTTCATTGGTGTAGAAGGAGTACGTGTGACGGACGGACGGACGGACGTTTGTGCAGCCAATAGCGATTTTTCACTTTGAGGAAAATACGCTAAAAAATGAATGAAAGGACTAAGCCAAGATGAATCGTCTAGCTAGAGAAAGGACATACCGTAATATATAGCAGCATAGAGTAGAACCAGGATAGATTTTTGCACATAGAATAACTTAATAAAAGCAAACACCTTTTGCATGCACAAAGACCTACACGCGGAAAATGGAAAATAGTTAACAAAAATCCATAACACCCAAAAAAATTTTGAAAAAATTTGTTAAAAGTATTTTCCCGGTGTCATAGTCGTTGTCGGACTTCTTGACTCCCAAAACTTGATGTTGAAAAATGATAACCAAAAGGCAACAATTGAAGATAATAAAACAAATCTCAGGTAAGATGGAAGAACATGAAGCGCATTAGGTAGTAAGCTTTTTGTCAGTCAGAAAAGACAGATGCAACTCGTTGATGGAAAATATGAATTTTACTCATTCAAGTAGAATCTGCTGGTCGTTATTGAGTAAATGAGAAGTAATAAGAAATCAATCAATTATCCAAATTTAATATCCAATTGATTTCGTCAAATCAATGAAAGAGATTTTATCTGCAACAACTTCTTTCAAAAATAGAACAGCCACGAGATTCGATGGTAGGTATCTACCCAGAGTGTATAAAGCATCTAAGTCCAAATGATTTAAAATTATTTTGACCTTTTATAGCAACATACTTTCTTCTGGAAACATTCTCACGTTTAAAAGGAAACAATTATTGAGATATTGGCACCATTGGTAAGAACAGTAACAATTCTTCAAGTTATAGATATCTACATTTCATTATAACGGTGTACAAACTTGAAAAACATATCAAAGAATTTACACACATTTAGGAGACCATATTCCAATTGAACAAGCCGAAATAGCCATTTTTATCGATCCGCCTACAGCACTGTTTGGAAAGATGGTCCAATTTCCGAAACTTCCTAACATCATTATTGTGGGAAATTTGTCAAACTAATAGGAAAAATTTATAAAAAAAAGGTTTTCGCCTTAAGGCGAGTAACTTTAGGTCATTTTCCATGCATTGATCAGTATTTTCCAAAAGGCAATAGGTATGTGAACTGTTTTTTCTTAATTAGAAGCCTGTATAGTTAAAATTTTAAAGAAATGCCTCCATAAATAAGAAAGTTGGCATTGCGGAATCTACGCATGCGAATTGCTAGTCTTGCACTACTTTATGTAAAAACAGGGTAGTGCACTCCGGTAAAGGTATACCTGTTCTTGCTAATGCAACTCCTCAAAATAGAAGAAAACGTGCAGCCAAAAGAGAATGGGAAAAATAATCTGAAATTAATAAATTTCCAATCAATTTTGAATCCGAAAATTTCAACACATTGAGCATAAACGATGGCGAGTCACAAAGCAAGCTCAACTTTACCACTCCAAGAGCGATCTAGTTTTCATAGTTTCTCGAAGAATCTTTTCAAGGGAGAACCACCTTTCTTGGTAACCTAGCGAGACATCATCATCAGGAGGTATCTGCTATTATTTTTCTTATTGGTGGTTTGTATTTCATTTTAGCAATACTATTTATTCTTTTAAATGAATTTCATTTTTGTTGGCCCATAATATTTTGTATAAAAAATGACACAGGACGTACTGAGTAAGGACAAAAGTTAGAATGTATACGTGATCACGAGATGGGCGTTATATTTTTTTTCTATTTTACAACCCAAATTAATGTTTTATGTTAGACGGAATATATGGCGTGCCCACTATGTATGGAGTATTCGGTAAGTAACCACTGTATATACACAATTTTTCTATATAAGAGTTGTGTAATATTTTATTTCCCATAATAAGGCGGCGTGTTCAGTTGTTTTTATTTCACAAAACAAATGAGTAGGAAACGAAAAACAATTGAATTTTTTAATAGCAATATGTACCTTTTTATTAGACACGTTTGATAAAGATTTTTCCTCTTTTCGATGACGATGTTAGTACCCTTATGCAAGAAAATTTTTCAAAAAAACTCTAAGCAATTATATTAACACTAATCTAAATGCCCTATAATCCTATATCAAAATAAAACAAATAAACGTGCACGTTTCTTATTGGAAGAAAAAACGAATTTAGCAGTAGAACGGTTTTCATTGCAATAAATATTCAAAATGTTCGCCATTAACTGCAAAGTATTGCCCCAACATATTACGAAAAGCTTGAAAGAAAAATTAATTTCTTGTATAAGGGTTCTAACGTGTTACGTCATTGAAATGAGAAAAAAAATCTCTATCAAATGAAAGGGCACATTATTAACTAAAACATTCAATGGTTTATTGTTACTTATTTGCTTTCTAAAATAAAAACAACTCAATGCTGCCTTATTATGGGAAATAAGATTTTAAACAACTTGTATATAGAAAATGGTGTATATAGGCATTATTTACCGAGATATAACTATATTCCATACATAGTGAGCACCCTGTACATATACCTAACGTATAAAACAATAGTGTATAACACTGTATACCATATAAATATCGGAAATGAATCGTCTGAATGGTAAGTACTTTATGCCACACTCCACTCATGAATAACACATTTAGTATCTTCACGTCTATTATAAGAAAATTAAGGTGCCACGCATTCGATATCTCACATAAAATTGTAGTAGCGATTTCAAAAAGATCAAAGTTAAGACACTTTGTGTAAAACTAATATTTCCGGTAGATATTAACGGAAAATTGAATATCAGTAATCAAAAGATTGGCTCCCGAAGCATTTTCAATTGTCCGAAAACTTCAAGAATAAACATTGCATAATAAATTAATATCGCCAGTAGGTAATATCAGTACATGTTCTGTTTAGACTTTTACAAAGAGTCTGTAATAGCTGTTTGTTGCGGTCGAGTGAATATCTAATTATCATGTAATAAATCATAGGTAAAAGCGTGACAGATACGCTAAACGAAAAATGAATATAAAATATTAATTGCATTCATTCCTAAAGAAGAATTAATATTTTGAGATCAAATTGCTTTTCTATTTGAGAATATTTCAATTTCCCTAAGTGTGGTTGTCCAATAGACCAAGGGGGAAGGATATTTAAAATTAAATGATTATAGCACCTCCATACACGATATTATTTTAAAAATTAATGATTACTTACAAGAAATAGACCGCTTCTGAACCTCATTTTAAGCACGAAACTTGAGCAGCAATTGCACTTTTACGCGCCTTGTAATCTCTTTATAATTTAAGAAGTCGAAACCGTCATTTCTCTTCTTTTATAAGAGGTCACCTCTCCTTCAATCGCGATTGGCTACTAACAAATAAACTTCCAAGTATCGTAAATAAAATCAATTAACCCCTATAATAATTAACATTATTATAGTCATTGAATTGCTAATGCAAAAATGTAAGAAAAATGAGGAAAATGTGCAGGAAAAGTCATCCAGTGGATGCGAGGAAGTGGCAATCGTGATGGCAATGGGCTCTACGAAATAGGCAAAAAAATGATAAGTGAATTCTAGGTGGCATGCCACTTTCGATTCGTCGACACTGCTTTACATTCCGTACCCAGTATTTAACGTGATATAACGGCATTATTGTAATTACTGAATTTAAAATGCGATTAACTGAATTTCGCATTGAAAGAAATAGACGTTAAATGTAATCTATATTTTCTAGTCTCGGCCTTTGAATTATAATTTATGTTAATTCGGATAAGACCGCGATTTTTTTCCTGGTTCTATTGCCTAATCGCATTAACTCCGTTTTCTAACAAAATTAAATTATTTTGTTCCCTGCATATCATGTTTTCTTTTTTTTTGCTACTTTTTTACTTTCATTTCCTCCATTTCAATAAAATTCGAGTTCCAAATTTTTACAAAAACCAATTGAGAAAACAAGTCGAGTTTGATTTAACAGAAACATCAAGAAACACATGTTATTGTGGCAACTAATTAAACAAATAAATTTTAGTATAACAAAAATTTAACATATAAACAACAAACAATGTGATAAGATTAGAAAATCTTTTCATTTGAAAAAATTAGCTTTCGCATTTTCAAGCTAAGTAAATCGTAAAATCATGCGCCTGTCTTCAGGCAACGCAAAAGGCAATTTATTTTGTACAAAATACTCAAATATTTCAAAAAGCGTTTTTGGTTGAGTTGTATATAAAATTCAGTCAACATTTCATATAAATTAGTTAAAATGAACACGTAAGTAATATAAGACAACAACAAATCCTCCCCTCCATTTATCGCTTTTTTAAGGAAACACTTGCCTGCACACAAACTTTGAAGTGAGCATTTTTGAGACATTAATAAAACAATTTAAAAAACACTTACTTTTAACTATGTAAGTATGGCTGTGCGAACCACCTCGTGACCTAGTATTGCCCCTATAGAAATACAAAACACTGAAATGTGTCGCAGCATTTCAGAGATAACACTTAAAAATTTTTAAATCACACACTCGGTTTGCCCACATTACAATGACTCTCTAAATTTACTGGGTTCGTAAACACACGCTACAAAATTTAAAAACAACTACACACACCTTAAATCTTAAAACTAACCCATAACTGTCCCCGACATTACCTAAATTTGATTTACCCGCCAAACCCCGACTTTATTCGCACCTCTTTTTGCTGAATTCAGACACTATATTGAATATTGTTAATTGTTGGTTCTGATGATGTTGTTCACTGCACTAAAATAAAATAAGTATAAATTATGCACAGCTTTTGCGCAGATAAAGCGCATTTTTTGAAACCGAATAGTTTAGTAAATGGTTGGGTTATAGTAGTAGCATGCTATATTTATCGATAGTTACTGCCTTGGTAGTTGATTAATGGGGAGGGTGTTCTTTAAATATTAACATTTAAAGCCCACCTGGCATACAATCGTAATCTACGCTATATAAATATAATGCGAGAAGAATCAGCTCGTAGAGAAATTCTCCCAAATATTGCCTTTCCCTTTGTAGGTAGGTACCTTCCTCCAACATATTCGAGATATTCTCAATTAAGTTTTTACGTGCCACCAAATGTATCCTATCTCTAGAGTGTATTTCCTACTTTGAGTGTACCCTCCTCCGACACTCCGTTCTGCAGATATTTGCACTAAAAGTTTTGACATCATCAAAACATATCTCGTCCTGACGTTCCACATGCCCTTTATGCACACCCTCTTCCGATACTTCGTTTTCAAGATATTCACTACTTCGCCTTGACCAATAGATATGTCTCGTCCAGCGATTCATTTTCAAAGGTTGTACTTGACACAACGAAAGGTATGCGCATGTCTGAGACCAATTGTTGTTGCATGTAAAAGTTATGCACGTTCTACTTTCAAAACAGCATCTCAGTAATTGGGCGCAAGCCTGTTGAGGGCCCAGAACAAGAGAGGGATAATAAACAAATAAATAAATAAATCTCAGGAAATAATTCATGCCATAAGACAGCGAAATTTCATGGCGATCTGGCGCATCTTCAAGCTATAGTCTATACAGGCTACATATTGCAACAAATTCCAGGAATCTAGGACCATTCCCCTAACAGTACTTCTACACGGCAGAAGTGGGTCCGGACATACGGACGGACAAAACCCAAACAATCGCACATTTTTTTCATTTTTAAAAAATGCTCCTGTAATTTTATAATAACTAATTTTGATGGAAAAATGTACCTGTACAAAATAAACCATCTGCCAAATTCGGTTCCAAATCCGTACGAGTTTTCTAAAATGCATGGTTACTCGCAGATTCTTTGACTTCGTATTATGCGTTCTGCACTTTCACATTATAATTTTCCGTTAAATTGTCTTCGATTTCCCCTACAGTTCGTTTCATCCTCTGTCAATTTCCTCATAAGGTGCTCTTAAAATCCTGAAGTTGATTTGAAATTACGCTCAAGCCCCCTTTAACCTTTCATTACGTTCCCATTGCATTCGTGTCAGGATTTTCTCAAGATCAATTCATTTTAATTTCTCCTCAACCTCATTATTAGCAAAAAATCTACAATCCATGCCACTTTCTTTGCACCAGTGATTCCACTGGGAGTTCAACTAAAAAAAATTATTAAAATTGAAAATAATAGTGTAGTTTATTTTTGGGGCATGAGATGTTTTATGGTTGAAAAACTGAAAAATTGTTAAAAAAATTATCAAAGTCCAAAGTGAGATCGAAGGGACTTCAGCACAGTTTTATGTCGCAAATCAGTATTCTATTAGCCAGTTTTGACTCCATCAATAAGATCTTGTCGAAGGCTACCACATTTCCTTTGTTGGTGCTAATTTCTTACCTCACGTTCACCCGCGATCCGCATTTTTGTTGATTTCGCTAAAAACCCTACACAAAATAGTACCTACCTACTCAATTTTTGGGGTACTTCTCATAGCTCGAACTTCTATTGCCAACACCAGAAAGAGAGGCCGCGGTTCGACTACCTCTCGAAGTCGCACGCCTTGCAAAAGGTGGTCAATAAAAAAAAAACAAAATTTCGTTCCGCAAGAGCTGTGTGCAGAAACAGAGTCACAGAATAAAACAAACCGCATTTCGCAATTAAATTACACTAAATTAAAACCACAATTAACATATGAATTTCACCATAAATCGAAAATGTTCCACTGATTAATGGATCGTCAAAGAACCCGCGTATTGTTTTAAAAAAATTGCTGCGTTTTGTTCGTCTGTGCTGGCGATTTGTTTTTGAATGAGGCCTGAAGTTATTAGGACGAAACTCCGGATGTTTGGCTAATTCTGCATGATTGTACTCCCCATCGACACTTGAATTCTATCTTGAAGATGCGAGTGGAGACATCGAACTCAACCTGCAAGCGATGATGACACACGTTTCAAACCCGATCCAATGAGAATTGAGTGATAAAGCACTGATTTATATCTTTACCTTCAGCGAAAGAAACATTGACGAATGTTTTTCTGTTCTTAACGATGAAAGAAGAAGACCAAGAAAAGTGCAAGAAGTCAATTTCCATAATTGTAACTACCTACTCACTGAAAGAAAGGTGTAGGTAGTAACAAAACGCATATGTTGATAGAGTTGAAAAGCTCCAAATAGAATGTCGGAACTCGGTACTCATAAAGAGAAAGTCGTAAGTCTCGGTGAGACTCATCCGGAGGTACTAAATTTAATTTGATTGTATCACTAGTAACGGAGAGTATGTTGCAGGATGGAGTGTTAAAACAGGGTACTCGCAAAATGAAGATAAAAAGTTCTTGCCCAGATGCATCTGTCGTGAATCATAATCCGATAAGCACCTTGTAGTGTACTTAACCCCCAGGTTCTACGCTAACTTCACACTACAAGAACACGGAAGTAAAGTCAACTCGGCAACGTTTAAAAATGACCACCCGAATGAAGATTCCCTCCAAAATTAAACAAGATCCCGCTTAAATTTGAAATGTGGCACGTGATAAAACATCCAAGGCAGGGCCCCCTTACGTTAGTTGTAAACAACGCTATGACCTGAAGCACAGTAGGGAAGGAACGTAAAATAAAACACTGAAATTGTGAAAAGTTTGCTTAATAATGATCGTAATTATTATTGATTGTAAAAGCTCGAAAATTTAGGTCAACATAAATTACATTGCAAAAAACAACTTTGAAAATGGTAGTTCACCGAATAAAAATAGAAATAGGTTGGAAAAAAAAGAACTGACCAATAAAAAACTATTATTAAACTGTGTAGTAAAATTAATTGTTTGTAATGCTGTGAAACATAAAATTATAACACAAAAAGTAGGATGTAGACTTCAAGAGGTAACATAGGTTAAAAACAAGTTTTGGGAATTATGGGTCAAGTAAGCAGGTACCAAGATTCTAAGAAAGGGTGAAATACACAGGATGTGACTCATCTTTGGTGCAATAAAGTCCTTTTGTTAAAAGCAAGATGGAAAACTACATGGCCTTGTAGGCTTAACTATCAGTAAAAATATGTGGAAATTATTGAATCGCCACTCATATATCACACATAGATTCTAAACCGAAGAGCTTTGATTAGCATAATCTCGCCCCCGCAAGATAGGTAGCGTCGCCCCTCGTTCGGGGTTTCGAGCCTACAGTTGAATGTCGAAGACAATCACGGAATTAGTTGTCGTAGCTTAATTTTGACTACAGTTTTTACCACCCCCGTGACTGCTTCATTCACGGAGAAAATGTGAGTTACAATCAACACCAATAAACATAAATTAAGCAAGCATTGCACCAAAAACGTAAACATTTACAAACACCACTTAGGAACTCCAAATTTTTTTGATCTCTAGGT